AAATATTTCACACCTAACATAATCCGATTATACCGCCGATTTTTTTTTGGGGTAACCCATCATCACATCAATGGTGAGATCACTACCACCAGCAGCGGTGGTGAGTAGCACTCATATATACAGTATATATATACTGTATAAGAAATATCCCGTATTTTTGATGATTACCCCATTGACTCACTTTTACATATATGTATTATAAACCTTTTCAAACATAATGATACAAAAAAAAAATAAATAAAATAAAATAAAAATCTTTTGTCAATCAAAAAATTGTAAAAGTTTTGCATACATTGTATCTTTTAAAAAATATGCAAAAAATCTCATTATAATTGAAGAGTGAGTGAGTGAGAGAAATGTGTGTCCTATTGGATGATAACTATAAAAAAAAAGTTTGACATTTAAAACTTCACATGTATTTCAATGTATTTTTGTTGGACAATGAAAATGTAAATCACAAATGTCTTCACACACACACACACAGACATACAATAATAATAAAAAAAATTTTGTCACATTATATACTACTGTATAATATTTACAAAATATTTTTAGTTTATTTTATTTTACTTTTTTCAAATCCGAAAAACTACTAAATCTTTAATAGGATTTCAAATTTTGAATTACAATATCAATGTTTATGAAAATTTATTTATTTTTTTAAATGTATGCATAAAATAAACACTATTTTTAAAACATTTTATTTTAATTATTTTATTTTATGGCTATAAATCATGTTTGTGTTATATAATAAACATAAACATAAATAAAAATAAATTTTAAAAAAAAATTTATATAAATAAAATAGATTAATAGATAAATCAATAAATATCAATAAAAGATAATATGAAAAAATCATATCTAAAATCATATCTATTTATACAATATAAACTTATTTATTAATTATTAGTTATTTATTGATTAAGTTATAAAAAAACAAAAATAAAATTTTTATTAAAAAAATAGTTTTAAAACAATTTTAAGGACATTATCTCATGTGAAATTTTTTATACTATCATATTGTATAGTAAACCCTAACACCAAAAAAAATAAAACAAAATTATTTATTACTAACCAAAAAACAAACTAATTGGGCAAAACTAACAACAATTTTTTTATATATATATATTTAGTTACAAAAATAACTATAATAATAATAATTGTCAGTTTGTTTGTAACCCACTAAAAACAAAATAATTAATGTCTAAAATTATTAATCAAGCATTTGATATACTATTACAACAACAACAACAACAACAACAACAAGCAATAGCCTATGAAAAAAGGATTTTGTAATATATATCATATATTTTCCTATAAATATTTGCCTTTTATGGACACAAAATAAATTGTGGGTCAAAATGTTATTATTGGTGGCAATAAATACAAAATATTTGTAAGAGAGAGAGAAATATGACTTTTCATTTATATACACACACTATATATATATACAACAAAATGTCAAATAGCTTATGGGTTGGGAATAAAAAATGATACCCAAAAACAGGGATAAATGAGTTGAACTATCAATTTGTTTTGTCAAACAAACAAACAAACAAAAAATTGTGGAAAAATTAACCCCACCGTTGATTAATGGATTTTAAGTGCAAATACCATCTCATATGCAACAAATGGTCAACAAATTTTAAGAGAGAGAGAGAGAGAGAGAGAGTGAAAAAGAGAGAGAAAAATAGGGGAACGGGTTGTGAAATCTCCTAATGAATGGTCTTTATATATATAACTTTTGAAAGATATAAATGTATGTAAAGAGTAGTGTGACTGTCCAGTGAAATGACGGGATGTATGCTTGTATTGCACTGATATCACGGCTTATTTGGCAAACTTCCGTTTAAAGTTACAAAACAGCTCACAGAAAGAAAGAAAAAAAAATATTTTCATTTATCATCACTACTAATGTTATATTTGTATTAATGTATAGAYATATATATATATATATATATATATATATCCATACATATAATAATCGTTAGGTTTCTCTAAACGTGTGTGAATTATGAGCGCACAGTTAGCTCTCTATTTTGTTTGAGACCTTGGAGTTGCTCTTTCATCGATGAACAACCTYTCTCTCTCTCTCTCTCTCTCTCTCTCTCTCTCTCTCTCTCTCTCTCTCTTATATATATATATATATATATATATATATTATGAGAACCGTTGTATTAGCCATAACTCATACAACAAATATATTCTTGAATTTCGTCGTCCAATATATTCTTCGTCTTCTTCTTATGTCTTCTTTTTTTTATATCAAAACTATTATTACATTTCATATCTCTCTCTCTCTCTCTCTCTCTCTCTCTTCTTTCTTTATTTTATTCTTTAGTTTACAAGTTGTCGTTCAGTTTTGATTCACAGCAACGACGACGACTAAGAGGACGACAACAACGATATATAACACACACACACACACAACACAACCCCTCCTCTCAACCCCTCCATTGAATACATAAGCAAAATATATGTTGAATGAGATGACAATTGATGCGATTTTCTTCATTGATATATATATATATATGAGATCTCAGGCCTCCACTCACTCCCCATAATAAATGTTTACCTGATTTTCAGTTGTTATATGAGTTATGAATTATGAGTTATTATTATTATATGACAAACACATTGTATTTTATCTGTTATATGTTTGTCTGTTGTATTGATATATATATATATATATATATATATATAATCAAAAGTATTTACTATTATTATTATATATTTACAGAAAGAAAAAAAACAGTTTTATAACAGGAAATGATTATTACATGAAAATAATAATAATAAAATTTGCTTTCAATTGAATATTATTTTGTAAATACTGTATATTGCTATACAAACAAATTATAATTTTTTTTTATTATATATGTATTATCACTGGAATAAATAATAATAATAATAATAATAATAATATTTACCAAAATATTTTCAAATTTGTTTTTTTTGAATCATAAATTACTTTTTATTTATTTATTTATTTTTTTCAATAACATATTTAACCGATAAATTTTTTTAAGCGACTTTATATACTGTATTATATATATTATATTTTTTCAAAAAGTTAAATAAATGTGGGAATAAATGCATTATCTGATAAAACAATTATATAAAATTTTAAAAATAAATTATTATTATCATTATAAATAATTGATTATATAATAATTATTATTGTATATATATATATATATACCAATTATTGTATTATTTTATCTAAACTATAGACTATAAGTTATATTTATCAATTAAATTAAATTTATTTTTAGAAAAAAAAACAAAATATATATAGAGATATGATATAAATGTGTATAAATTTTATATAATAATATTATTTAATATTAGTTGTCATGACTTAGCAAAATGCTATGTTTTTTGTTTGTTTGTTATTATTATTTTGTTTTAGTTGATAAATTTGATACTAATAAACAATTAACTAAACAATAAAAAAWACTAAAATAATTTATATCAAGGTAAATGTGCTATAAAAATATTTTGTGTGTGTGTATTTGAATAAGTTTTTTTTGTTAAAGTTTAATAACTACTATATTATATTAAAATAACTAAGTGATACATTTAACCTTGTATTTAATAAACTTATCAATTTTAATAATAAATATTGATATAATTTTAGTAATTGATATATAATAGGAACTTATAAATAATAAATTATCAAGTTTAATTTAATAAAATTCAATTTTTAAGATATTGTGGAATTAAAATTAAAATTATATATTATATTTTCTTTTACAAACTTATAGTCAACTATTATATAAAATTAATTATATTTATATAAATATTTTTCCTTAATTTATTATATTGGATATATAGTAGTTGTCATCTTATTAATCATATATTACAGTATATATATTATATATGGTATATACTGTATATTTTTGAAATATATTAATGAGTATAAATCAAAAATCAAAAAATTAATTGCTGTTAATGTTTATTATTATTTATTATTATTATTAATAATTTGGGTCATTGAATGTCCCATTATTATTAAAAATTAGAAAAATGTTTTTTAAATAATAATAGTAATAAAAATAATAAATTTTAGGATACATATGAGTCTATCTACTACTGGTAATAGCTAGAGGAACAGTAGTTTATATGGGATAGGATAGTGTGTAGTGTCGATTCCCGGGGCAACTCTAAGCTATTCAATAATAATTGTAGTGAACATTACTGTATTAAAAAATATTATACATAGGGTTTATATACTAGGAATCGCATCACTGGTTATTATAACATGACTTCTCTCTCTCTCTCTCTCTCTCTCTCTCTCTCTCTCTCTCTCTCTCTCTCTCTCTCTCTCTCTCTCTCTCTCTCTCTCTCTCTCTCTCTCTCTCTCTCTCTTTATAATATAGTTTCAAAATAAAATAAAAATTAGACATTGAAATGACAGCTGAATTGTCAACAATAATAAAAATAATAATCAATTCAATTGAGTTTTTAACACAAACTACATGAATGGGTAGTCTATGAGCTATGATTTTAGTTTATCATTAGTGTAAACCAAATACAGTATATATTAATATCAGTATAATATCAGTATATATGTATATATGATATGATTGATAATAACTTTGATTTATTTACATTATTATTAATATTAATATATTAATAATTAATTATCTGTATAAACAAATATTTAATGTGTTGTTGTGTATGTGTTTTTTTCTAAACTATTAATACTATTAAACTATGATATATATACTAAAAAATTTTTTTAGTTTTTTTGTGTTGAAAATTAAAACTTGAAATATATATTTATATAATGTATTATCATAACTAATTTACTAAAGTACTGTATATAATATGTGTATTCAATAAACACTGTTTATATTTGAAAAAATTATACAAAAATTAATTAAAACGATAATTAATAATTAAATGATAATTAATTGACTCTATGACTATGACTTATCTATAATTTTTTAATATATATATATATATATTTTTAAAAACAAACAATTTTTGTTTAGCCATCAAAAAAAATATATTATATAAAAATACTAAAAATATTAGCCATCATTATGCGGCACTTAATTAACTTAATTATTATTATATCAATTGGTTTGACAAACATAGTGCCAAATGTCAAATGTGACGATAAATATCGTATCGGTGTCGGCATCGGTGACATCACTGGTCCGGCGGCCGAAATAAATATGGTATAAATAAAATATATTTTAATATAATTATAAAAATTATTAATTTTTTTTTTAAAAATAAATTAATTGCTAATTTAATAGATGGGTTACGCAAAGCCCGGTCAGGACACGCATGGCATACATATGCGACTATACAGCCGAGCGGTAATCATTGAGGACATGTCTGGCCATAGGATATGCTACGTATCGGCCGATATTGCAATGATGTCACAGATACTCAAATTAGAGGTAATTTTTAAATAATAATAATAATTATCATAAAATTTATTTTAAAAACTTAAATAAATTTAAAAAATAGGTATTGAAAATATTAGAGAAAAACTATGAGGGAGTCTATACTATAAACAATGTAATGCTATCGACTACACACACCCACTCAGGACCGGGAGGTTTCCTACAGTACATACTCTATATAATATCGTCGCAAGGTTTCATCGACCATAACTTCCAAGCCATACGCGACGGCATTGTCCGCAGTATAGACAGAGCCCATCATAACTTAACCGACGGCTATGTCTATGTAAATGTTGGCCAACTGTTGGATGCCAGCGCTAACCGTAGTCCTACGGCTTACGATAATAATAGTCCGGCCGAACGTAATCAATACGAGTATAATACGGATAAAAATATGACTGTCCTCAAGCTAACCGATTTGATGGATGAACCACTGGGTGCTGTCAATTGGTTTGCAGTTCACGCAACATCCATGAATAATACTAATAAACTGATTAGTGGCGATAATAAAGGCTATGCCTCCCAGCTTATGGAGCAGGACTTCAATGGTGGTACACTACATGGAAAAGTAATGGACCTATTATTTAGTTAACATATATGATATGATTAAAAAAAATATTTGATTAAATTATACAGTTTATTACAGTATATATATAAAAGATTATATTTATTATATTATTATATTTTTTTTTGTTATTAGTCGACAACTATAGTTATTAATACTGTATATAATTATAATGTATTAATATTGTTTGACACCCCCATAAAATTGGTATAATTTTTAGTGTTGTTGTTGTATTTTAGGGTCCATTTGTGGCACTGTTTCCACAGTCCAATGAGGGCGACGTATCGCCCAATATTAGGGGTCCCTATTGTCTGGACAGTGGTCTGCCATGCGATACGGCTCATAGTACTTGCAATGGAAAGGTATCTTTTTTTTAAAAAAATCAAAAATTATAATTACCTAATAATATAACTAATTATTAATTAATTGGTTGTTTTTGTTGTTGTTGGTGTAGAACGAGTTATGTGTAGCTTCGGGTCCCGGACGAGACATGTTTGAGAGCACCCGTATCATAGGCTATCGGCAATTTGCAAGAGCCAAACAACTGTTTCAAAATGCTAGCCGCAAGTTGTCGGGTACTATTGGCTACATTCATCAGACTGTAGACATGTCCAACGTAGTGGTCGAGTTGGCCCAGCCGACGGTCAACAATAACAAGACATCGGTCCGGACGTGTGCACCGGCTATGGGCTACAGTTTTGCTGCCGGTACTACCGATGGTCCCGGTGCTTTTGATTTTTTTCAGGGTATACTACTACTACTACTAATTAACAACAACTACAAAAAATCTAGACATACCATAATAATAATATATATCACCAAAAAAAAAAATTTTTTTTTTAGGTGACACCAGTCCGAACCCGTTCTGGAATCTGCTTCGCAATCTAATTAAGACACCATCGAAACAGATAACCGATTGTCAGAAACCGAAACCCATACTGTTTGCCACCGGCGAGATGTCGTTTCCCTATCAGTGGCAGCCGTCGATACTGCCGACACAGATATTCAAATTGGGCGACAGTCTACTGGTAGTGGCCGTTCCCGCCGAGTTTACCACAATGTCTGGCCGTCGGCTCAGGCAAGCAGTCAAAGAGGAGTACGACAAACACTCAAACAGTGACGTACAGGTGGTTATCGCCGGACTGGCCAATGCTTACGCATCATATGTGGCCACTTATGAGGAGTTAGATAATTATGATTTTTTTTTGTTGTTGGGTGTAATAATCAATATGATTACTAATGTTATCCTTATGTTTAAAAACAGATATCAAGTTCAACGATATGAAGGTGCGTCCACTTTGTACGGTCCGCACACATTGGACGCCTACATTCAACAGTACAGACAACTGGCCCGACATTTGGCCAAAGGCGAAACCATTGATCCGGGACCGGCCGAACTGAATCTACTGAGCAAACAAATCAGTCTGAAACCGGGTGTCATATACGATGGTACGCCATCGGGCAAACGGTTTGGCAGTTTGGTACGGGACGCCCAGGACCAGTACAGTCCGGGAACTACCGTACGGGTAACGTTTGTGGCCGCCAATCCACGTAACGATGTCAAAGCCGAAAGTTCCTTCTTGACGGTCGAGCGCTGGGATCCGTCGAAACCGCCGGGCAATTGGCTATTGATAGCTACTGATGCTAACTGGGAAACAAAGTAGGTGTCACCACCACCACCACTACCATAACTACCTGTGCTCTCTCTCTCTCTCTCTCTCTCTCTCTCTCTCTCTCTCTCTCTCTGATATTTGAAGTTTTTCTTAAAATATTTTATTATTAGATTTTATTGGCGCCGAACCAACACATTCTTCGGCGAAAGTGAAGTGGACATTGTGTGGGACATTCCCGCCGATGTACTGCCCGGTCAGTACCGGATCAGACACTTTGGTAACAGTAAAAACTTGATGCAAACGATTAAATCTTATATTGGGGTAAAAAAATCATTTTTTTTGTTGTTGATTATATAGTTTTATAATTTATATACCAGTGCTTTGAGTACAATCAGATAAAAAATTAAGATATTATAGATAATTATAGGTGTTATGTATGAAATATTAATATATATATATATATATAATGCACTTGGTCATACTCCTCCACCTTTCAAACGCCTCCTCCCAGGCAGTTTTCGCAAGCGACTAAAATACTCTATGAGTATCTTCATCTTCAGACACAAATATCTTTGTACAGTATTGGCCCGTAATAATAAACTTCATATTTTTATTGACATTTTTCCAACCTATTATAATATATATACTTCAGTATATATATATAAATTGAATTTATATATATATAATCATTCATAAATAACGTTTCGCTACCTTTATATGGCGCGAAGAGTATATAAAGTATTGATAGTACTAGTAGTACACAATTAAAATCATATAAAAATTTTTTTTTTATTAATATATATACAGTATATATATATAAATTGAATTTATATATTAATAAATCTGATGACACATTTATCTAAATTTTTATAAAAATTAGATTAATATGCTAATTGTATACTACAATCTAATAGTTGATAAAAAATTATTTTTTTTAAATAATTTATTTACTGAATTTTGTTTATATTAACATATTTATAACATTTTTTTAAAAAATAATAATAATATGATATATATTTAAATCTATGTATTTTTTATTTAAAATATTTTTATTATTATGATTATTATATAGACGTCCAAAACGTTTGAAGTCAAACCAATGGAAAAGATGTGATCTATTTTTTTTTGTCGATAAAATTATTTATTATATATAATATAATATTATATTTTATATTATATATTATATATATATATATATTCTCTGAAAAAAAATTAATTGCTTATAAAAATTCTAGTCCATACAAATTTAATTTAATTTTTTTTTTTGATAAAAATGTTATAAATTTTTCTATACATAATATAATTATTTAAATATTGATATTATTAAATTAATAAAATAAAAACTAAACTAAACCATTGACTAATAATTTGATTGAATTTTCTTATCGAAAAGTGTTTTCAAAAAAAATATATAATTTTTATTTTAATAAAATTAACGCAAAAAAGCTTTAGAAAAATTTAAAATTAAAAAAAAATAATTATTATGTATGAGTATATTTACAGATCAAAATAACTTATATTAAATTAACAGATCAAATAATTTTTGAATTTTTCAAAATATTAAATAATTGAAATATTTAATAAATTTTTTTTTATTATATAAGTATTGAGAAATGTTAAGTAAAATACATATTTCTAAAAAAAAATTATATATAAAATTAGTTATAAAAATTGACAATTACAATAAACACTAAATTGTAAAAATAAATAATTATTTAAAACAATTATTTTTTAAAAACTTTTTTAAAAATAATATACTGTATTATATATATATATACAGTATATTACTGTATACTGAATTAAAAAAAATGTGAAATCATTTTTGTTTTTAATTATCAAAAATAATAATAATAATAGCAACCAAAAAATAATTAATTAATAATAATAATAATAAAAAATAGTTGTTATAAAAAAAAATAATAATCTTATTTTTTTAATATTAAAATACATCGATTGCACATACAATCTAGCCATGGACATTGATGATCTTGGTAAAACAAAACAAAACAATAACATAATTATATTGATTGATTTATTATTATTATCTGGATCTACATTAGTAATATTATATTATATATATAAAATCAGGGACAAAATAGGCGGAACTAATATTTTTGTTATATCTCAAAAACTAAAAGACCTAGGACAAAGATATTCAATATGATACTATGGCTTCATGGAACCTACAAAATAGTGTGACCAAATTTTTTATAAAATTTCTAAGATAGAAATGATCAAAATAATATAATAACATAAAATCTGTAGTAGATAATGATAATCTATTAAATGTATAATAAACTAGATAAAATATAACTTGACATGTGTCTCAGCAGTTTTTATAAATTTTTGAAAGAAAAAAATAAACTACTTTAATTAAATATAAAAAATGTAATATAATATTTTACAAATAATATATTACTTTTCTCTTTCAAAAATTGATACTAACTTTATTAATTATTTTTTTGAAAATTGCTGAAACACGTATCAAATTATTTTTTATCTAGTTTAGTATACATTTTATAGATTTTCATTATCTATTATAGATTTTGAGATATTACATATTTTTATCATTTCTATTTTAGTAATTTTATAAAAAATTTGGTCTCACCATTTTGTACGTTCCAAGAAACCATAGTTGTTTATTAAATATCTTTGTCCTAGGTCTTTTAGTTTTTGAGATATAATAAAAATATTAGTTCCGCCTATTTTGTCCCTGATTTTATATATTTATAAAAAAAAATACATTAACAATATTAACTATATTAATATAAACTAGGGGGGGGGTTAATACTACATGCATATAATATTACCTTTATGGGCCAATGTAATTTTACCATGATTATAGCATGGTCGGCACCATGGTCGGACAAAATTATTGCCACAATTATGGTTATCCTTATTGTTGTTGTTGTGGTTGTCATCACCATTTGATCCATACAAAGATTTTACTATCGTTTCAGTCATTTTAAATTTTTTTTTTTAAATAAATCTAAAATTTGTTATTATTCAAAAATAAAAATTTTATCTATGGTTTTGTTAATATTTTATGGGAGGCTATGATTATAATGGCTATAATAACTTTTTATCATTACTTTTTATAGTACTGGTGAAATCGAAATATATAGGATTGTATATATATATATATATATATATATATATATATATAGCACAGGTGGTTCATATGTAAAGGGTAAAGGTTATAGTATAGTTCCAGTCCTTATATAAAATTATATATATCTATCTACCCTGGTATTAAACCCGTTTATTTTTCTAACAGTTAATAATGGGTTAGCAGGATCAATTATATCAGTATAGTATATATATATATACTATATATATATTATATTACATCAAAAAATTTTACCGAAAATATTTTCACCAATTGTCACGTAAAAATAACAATAATATTAATAATATAAATATATCTTATATACAGTATAAATATATATATAAACTTATATATATATATATATGAAAAATAACATTAAATTATTGCATATATACAGTATATGTTTGTCAAAGTTGAAGGGTAAGTTTTTTTTGAAAACATAGCAAAAATAAAAATAATATACGGTATATATATATATAAATAAAAATCTTAAATAATATTTGAATAGATGCCAACATCAACATTATATTATTATTATATAATAGTTTAGTCAATAATATCTAAAAAGTGTATCTAAAAATTTTTAAGTAAGTATTATATTTTGTTTTTGTTTTTCCAATAATATTTTGATACAAAAAAATACATATTTTTAAAATAAATAATATCAAAATTTATATTTTATAACCTTGAATATATAATATGTAATGCAGACAAAATATTTTTAGTTTTTATTTAGTTTTCTAAAACATATAGTAGTAATATTTGCCACAATAATAATAATAATTGAAAAATCTAGACAATTATTTTTTTATGAAAATATTTGTTTTATTTTTAAAAATTAGTTTTATTTATACGTATATAAACTTATAATACAATTTAATTTATTTTAATATTAATTAAAAAAAATAAGATAAATCCATTAATAAATAATCTATTAATAATCATAATAATAATAATAATTAGTTTTCAATCAATTAAAATAGTTTGCAAATTTGAAAAATATGTTTTTTATAAGTATTATATGTTAAGCTACTGTATAAACACCTATTAATAATATTATTTAAAAAATTAAATACAATATGTTGTAAATATAATTATACAAAAAAATTTATAATAAAACAAAATTTATAAATCAAAATAACAAAATTATATATATATATATATATTGAAACTCACTTTATTATTATTATTATTATTAGTATTGATGTATAATAAATTGACTATTCATTTATAATATAAAGTAAAAATAAATAATAATAATTATGATATTAAATATATAAATTATATATATATTTTTCTTAAATACAGTAATATTGATGAAAATATTAATGTATATAATAAATGTACTGTGAGTTCAATGTATTGCAATTATACAGTGTGTATGTATGTGTATAAAACTTTTTATAATTAATTGAAAATTTTTTTTTCATATATATATATATATAAAATATAACATATCATTGTTTGGCATTATTTATAGCATTTTAAAAAGTGTTTTTAAAAAAAATTTATTTATATATTTTTATTTACAAAATAATAGATTTTTAACCTAGCTCATTCACATAATATAAAAAAAGAAGTTAATACTAAAAATTATAAATTTAAACATATATTTAATATTATTTAAATAAAAACTATAAATATATTTATTTATTGTATATATCTTTTACTGTATATATATTTTTAAAAAATTCATATTAAAAATTAAATATATATATACTATTTATAAATTACTTAACCATTTATTATTTTCATATAATAATAATAATAATAATTAAAATATTATTATTAATTTTCTTAGTTTTCATTCACAAAATAATAATATTTAAATTTATTTATTAATTTTTTTCTTAAATAAAATAAAAAGAGATCACAATTTTTCTCCGGCCAGATCGGGAATAGTATTATAGTAGCAATGATCGGGAAACCTGTCCAACTCGATGTAATCGTTTTCGCTGACCAACAGTTTGTCGAGATAGTCGACCAATTGGTCGAAAGCGGGCCTCTTGTCCGCATCGCCGTCCCAACAGTAGTACATAATATTATACATTTCACGTTTACAATGTTCCGGTTTAGGTAGCCGTTGGCCGTCGCGTACGTATTTGATAACATCGGGTGCCCCGAGACCCGGATAGGGTGTTCCGCCCAGTGTTACAATTTCCCACATTAGGACACCTATTGAACAACCAAAAAACAAACATATATAATAAATATGACATTCAATTACCATTCAATATATATATATATAAAGATAATCCGTACCGAAACTCCAGACATCACTTTTGGTGGTAAATATCGAGTCAATTAAGGACTCAATGGCCATCCAGCGAATAGGTAGTCGACCCTATAGTATATATAAGGTATAGCCAAATAAAATGGTTAGTAATTGTTATTTTTTTATAAAAAAAAACTAAAATATGACAACCAATTGTGGCCAACAAACAAAAAAAACTATAAAAAAATTACCTCCGATTTGCGTTCGTAGACATGATTGGCAATAATATCTCTGGCGAAACCAAAGTCGGCCACTTTGACGGTATTATTAGTGCCGACCAATACGTTTCTGGCGGCTAAGTCTCTGTGAATTATCTGTTAATATTTTTTTTATAAAAAATTATGGTTAGATTTATTTATAATAACATAACACTTGTATTATAATAATAATAATAATAACTACTGACCCCTTTAGAGGACAGGTATTCCATGGCTTTGGCCACTTGATAGGCAAACGATGTCAAATCTCTGGCCGACAATCGGCTACTACTGCCGTGAAGATTACCGTAGAATCGGTCGGACTGTCGTTCGCGACTATCGCGCAAATATGACTGAAGTGTACCATAGGGTACGTACTCCATGATCAAGAATACGGGATCCCTTTCCGTACAGCTGCCCAACATTGTCACTACATTCGGATGTATGTCCAACATCTTCATGATCTGCAATTCGGTTAACAGGTCTGACCTTTCTTTTTCCGATGCATTTTCTTTCAATGTTTTCACGGCCACAATATCCTTTTTTTCGTTATCAAATATATTGTAGGCCTCGCACTTCCATACCTGACCGAAACAGCCTTCGCCCAGTATGCTCAGAAAGTGTAGATGATGTCTGGGAAACTCCAGTTGAATACGATGATGATGGTTATCCTCGGTCAACGGTATGTTCAACGTTGATGTATATCTATTGGATTCGGCGCTGCGATTGTTTTGCAGCGATTTTTTGGCCCGAATCTGCTGAAACAGTGCACCATTGTAGTCAAGTTCGGCCGACATACCGGAGCTGATACTAGTTTCGCTACTAGTGCCTGAACCTGACCCGGTAGTACCCTTCTCGATGGTGGCAATCTTTTGCGATATCGATTTCATTAGATTCCTGTTCGACGATTTGTGGCATCGGTGGTGCAAAATCCAGAAGACTAGACCGGCTATCGGTGCAAAACATACGGCAGCCAACAGTGGCAGGAATGCGGTTATCATATCAAGTCCATCGCCAGTCCGATTGGCTGATCCTCTGGGATTATTGTCGTCGATTGTGTCCACGACGACTGGCTTTGGCGGTACATTCGTTTGAATAGCTGGTATCGATTGATTGGCCGCCGCCGACGGTGGGCGTGATGCTGATGATGGCTTGGTAGCTGTTGAAACTGTTTGTCCAGCGGTAAGGGTACCGGTGGCCGTGGAGTTTGCAACAGGTTTCGCTGATAGTAGTCTCTTTTCAGCTGCGGTAGGACTGGCGGTGGGCTTACGTGTCGCGGGAGTGATAAATGCGGTATCTTTTGGTCTCTGAGGCGGTAGCTGTGCGCTAATGAATGGCGGAAATGGCCGGCGCACGGGTACGGCAGCAGCATTGTTGTTGTTGTTGGTTGAGGTCATATTGGCCAACAATAAGTCGCTACCGTTTTTGTCGGCATCCAATACCCGAACAAATACTTCAATTTTGGCCTAAATTTACACAAAAAAAAATAAATAAATATTTCGTGTATTAAATAAAATGTTAATAATTTTTTTTGTTAGCTTTTTTTGTCCGCTTAAATAACTTACTGTTTGATGTCCATCGTTGGCAGTGATAAATAGATAGAAATCATTTCCAGCCTAACAAACAAACAACCAAAAAAAATACAGTCATTAAATCAAAAATTATATGATAATCAAATGATAATACATACATATATATAAGTAATAATAATAATAATATGTATTATATAATAAATAAGGTTTAGCTAAAGCTAAAGGATTTTCTTAAGTTTTTTATTTTATTTTGGTGTCAACACATTATTTTCACATTTAGTTTACTACACACACACTGTAATATCGTTAAGTATATTATATTAACCGAAAAAAAAATAAAATAATAATACATTATACGAGTGAAAAAAAGTCATAAAAAAAATCTGATAATTTTTGTACATAAAAATAACTGGTTTATCGGCTCTTTCTATATATATATATACTGTATGTATATCTCAACACAATTTACTCTTCAACATACAAATTGATGATTATTTTTGTTTTATTTGGGATTTTAAAACAACAAAGTTATGTAAAAAATATAATGTATTTTTTGTTTTTGTTTAGTAGGACTCGGGAACTAGTCTGACATGAATATCATCTCTCTCTCTCTCTCTCTCTCTCTCTCTCTCTCTCTCTCTCTCTCTCTCTTTCCCTCAATTATAATGAAACAGCATTTAAATTGTATTTGTTTTATATATATATATATATATATATATAAATTATATTTGTTTAAAATGTATGATAACTTATTACTTCTATATACAGTAACTAAAATAATAAAAACAAATCCTATTTATTAGGTTAATAAAAATTCGTTCAAATCGTTTACACTGTATATTCAATATAAATATATATATATAATTTAAATAATACTATAAAAATAAATCACTAATACTTTTTAATGAGGTCCCCATACCATTAAAAACTGATTGAATTGAATAGCAATAAAATAAAAAATAAAAATTATAACATATTTAAGGGCAGAGATAGAGAGATATGTAACCAAAAAAATTCAAATCAAATAAAATTTAAATATTTGAAATAAAATCACATTATATTTTTTTAAATGTTTCTTTTCATAAATATATTATTTAATGAATCATAATATAAAAGCTTATAATATATATATATATATATATATTTAGCGATAACGCCTAAACACATAACCAAAAAAAAAATGTTTTATATGATGTATAATACTGTATATAAACTTTACATATAATAAATACGATAATATTTAATATATTAATACCATTTTTTAGTGTGACTATAATTTTGTGGCTAAAAACTTTATTTTTTAATATATATATATACTTTAATCTATTTAATAAATAAGTGAATCGCCAACAAACAACAAGTGGGGGTATAATAAGTTAGGAAAGTTGTCTATAAACTGTATATATATCTATCTATGACCTGTGATTGAGCTACAAAAATGCCGATTTATAATCTCTCTCTCTCTCTCTCTCTCTCTCTCTCTCTCTCTCTCTCTCTCTCTCTCTTATCTATGGCACAACCCCTGGCTATACATAAATATCTATATATATTATAAACTGTATATATATTGTATACAATTTTGATTTCAAGCAGATTCCAATGGGTGTCATAATTTTGAGAAACTTATTTTTTGATATATATATATAGACTACCCGGATCTCAAATAGGGCATACCATCAAAATAAAATATATCTATCTATATATATATATATATATATATATATATATATATATTGATATACATTATATATACTCAATAAAGTGTTTTTTTGGGTATTGTTATGGATTATGATGATAATAATGATGATGATGACCATCCAGGAGTGCCCTATCCTATCCATATCATATATGGCACGAGACTATCGCAAAATAGTAGTGCACAGCCCTAACGCCTAACCATTTTATGTGTGTGTGTGTTAAAAACGCGTGTGTCTTATGAGTTATGGTTTTGAAAAAAATAATAATAATTTTTGCTTTCAATGAGAGCACACATATAGTGTAAACCCTTATATAGATATATACAGTATTTAGCCGATCACTAGTTAGGGGACGACCAACAAAAAAAAATATATATAACCTTTTTTCACTATTAGGTATACAAATAACTACTACAACAACAATAAACAAAAAAAAATTTTCACTAGAATTGAATCGATTCTTAGGAAAAAAATCTATTTATTCAAATTTAGTTTTTTTGTTGAATTTTATTTTATTTTTCATTTTTGCTTTTCAATTGCATATTTCAATTATTATCAGTATTATTATTATTAGTACTCTCATTATTATTACTATTATTACAACCACTCAAATGTTAGACATATTTCTCTTAAATGAAGACTCTCTCTCTCTCTCTCTCTCTCTCTCTCTCTCTCTCTCTCTTTAGTTAGTAGTTTAGAAAACAGAAATTATAAATAATTTTCGCCAATTATATAGGAGTGCCAACAGAGAGAAATAGAGAGCATATATACAATATAGTTGGGTATATATATAGTAGGGCCGGCATACCGGGGCTATTAGTTTAATTTTTTTTTTGGTAGGGCTTACGAGATACCAGTGCACAGCCTTGGAATGTCATCCCTCACTGATGTATGATTTTTTTGTGTTGTTGTTGGTTATGTATATAAGAGAGTATAAGTGAGTTCATAGTCTCTTATATATACAGTATATAGACTGTATGTATAGCTAAAAGTCTCTCTCTCTCTCTCTCTCTCTCTCTCTCTCTCTCTCTCATTCACTCACTAATGTTTAATCTTTAAACTATATATTTTTTCAATGGCTCTCTAATATATATTATTTTTATTTTTTTCTTCACTAGTAATATAACATTAACGTAATTGTAAGTGAAGTGATAGGCAAACTTACGACCAGTTTTTCTCTCTCTCTCTCAAACGCCCGGAGCGCTCAATCGCAACGCTAAACAAAATATTTTTCTTTTGGACTTCAAATATATGTATATATGATATAAAAGTCAACGTTTGCTGAGCTCTCTCTCTCTMTATTGGATTCTCTCTCTCTTTATTTTTTATTATTATTATTATTATTATTTTTCATACCATAAAACTGATTAAATAATTGTAAGACAACTATTTTTTTTTGCTGGCTATGAATTTTCCAAATAATTAGTGTCTTTTTTATAACAACAAAAAAAAATAAATAAATAAAATATTTTTATTTTATGATTATTATATACCTGTATATATAGCTTATGCTCACACATACAGAATATACTGATAATATATTCAAAACCTTTATAACTAATTTCACTAATAATAATAATACTGTAATAATAATCATTTAAATTTAGTATATGTCTGCACACTGTCCACCAGTAAAACAAAACTAAAGCTATAAATTTTCACTAAAATTTTTTTATTTTATTATTTAAAAAATAATATTAATTTTCCCAAAACACACACATATATTATATATACACAGTTAACATACATAGAAAAAGCTACTGTCAAAAGTGTAGACCAGTTCGGTGTCCCCTCCAGTTCCCCTCATATATATATATATATATGAAAGCTATGTGWGTGTGTGTGTGTGAGAGAGAGAGAGAGAGAGAGAGAGAGAGAGAGAGACGGCACGTAAAACCGTGTTTTTTTGCACACACATACATGAGATACAAGTGCTACCAGATTACTGATCAGTTAGTTAAGAGAGCAATGGATGTGCACAGAGAAAAAAAAGGGGGAAAAACAAGGTTTGGTAGCGAAGCCATTGGCACTCAGTTTTTTTAGCTAATATTTGGAGAGTCCGTCCAACAAAAAAAAGAGAGTCGGTATATAATATATATTTATATATATATATATATATATATATAGTCAGTATAACTTAACATTAAGTGAAGCATAAACTCATTAAAAAATAATTTTTATGGGCTTTTCACTGATGAGAACTGATGAGAGTGTGTGTGTGTACTGTATATTATACACACACACACACACCACACACACACACACACTGAGAGATACAGGTGCCAGAGATTGTAGGTATTTATTTAGAGACAGATAGAGAGACAGTGTATAATTAGTGGTGTGTATGTATGTATGTGATACAGTAGTAGTAGTAGTAGTAGTTGAAGTTGACATACCTGTCCCAACAAAGACTCTTTGAGAAAAACGTCGCCATTCTTCGGATTGATAGTGAAATAATTGGATCCGTCCAAAAACATGGCCTTATCTATACTGTAGTCGATTGAGTCCCTGTCCTCATCTCTTGTTCGCACTGTTATTACACGGCTGCCTATAAATATATATAACAAATATAAATGATATGTCAGTCACATATAAATAGTTATATATATATATTGATGTTTAACTTTTTTTTAAACAAAAAAAATGCAATCATAGCACAGTCTAGTTATAACTTATAGGTGTGTCCAAAGCAATTGGAGTAAAAAATTTATATATAATAACTAAATACAATTAGATTCATCTTTTTTAAGCACCAGAAAAAACTACCTGTGCTTAAAACATTATTCATATTTTGTTTTTTGTTTTGTTTTGCTCGGATACTCCCTTTCCCAAATGCTATATATACTGTACATACCTGTCTATAACTTATATATATATATATACATGTATATGTCATACATAACTATTGCTTACATACTATACAACAGTTTAAAGTACTGTAAAAAAATAATTTATATCATATATATATATATATATATATATATATATATATATACTGTATATCTAAACCCCATATGAATAAGCAATTCAAAAAAAGTTAAATATAAGTTATATTATAAAATAAAAACAATGATATAAAGATTTTTTTGTGGTTGAAAAATATATATATATATATAATAATTATAAAAGCAGTTTGTTGACTACTCTTTTTATTATTATTATTATTATTATTATTATTATTATTTAGATTATACTATACTATATAACTATATAAATAAATATTTTTTTCTTTATATTTATGCTTATTATTAAATAAAAGAAAAAAACTAAATAAATAAATAATAAGATAAATATATTAACAAACAAACAAAAAAAACTTGTTGTCGTTGTTGTTATATATTATAAAATAATAATAATAATAATAACTAATACCTAAACTATTCAGTGACACAATTATATTATAAGAAACTAAAAGACTTGCCATTCATTCACTGGTATAAGGAATCAGAGCCTGAAAATGACAGACATTTCATGCAAGACGTGTCCGTATATTATGTATTATATAACTAATAAACTGTTTATATATATATATATATATATATATATATATATATTGTATACATATTAATGGTTATAACAAAATTATTTATATATTTATTATTATATATCTAAGTATTACAAACCACAAAAGTTCATTATATTATATATAAGAAACAAAACAAACAAAAAAATGGGTTTAATTTAATTAAAACAAAAATTTAAATATATATGTTTTCAAAAAAATATTAATTAGTATGTGTGTGTTATTTATTTTTAATTAATTAATTATTTTTTTTGGTTTATTTTGTAATTTCGGGGCTGCACTTACCGACGGGTTCATTTTCGGGTATAAGCCATTCACGTTTGAAGTCAAATACGGGCGGACTGTTGTGTCCGAAACCGGGAAATCCGAAACCTATTTTTAATTATTTATTTTGAAAAWATACATATTAATAAATAAAATTAGATTTTTTTAAAAAAATATTCAAATATGCAAATCATATCTCTCTCTCTCTCTCTCTCTCTCTCTCTCTCTCTCTCTCTCTCTCTCTCTCTCTATTTAAAGTCAAACAAACAAATATATAAATAAATATTTATTTTTTTTTTAAAATACCTGAAGTGGTTGAACACATCAATAGTGTAATCCATAGCCACGACATTATATTATTATTATTATTAGTAGTATTATAAGCTAATAATAATATCATAGTTTCCTAAATAATAACACATTCACTGTACACTGTACTACACATCAAAACACATATACAYACACACACAGAGAGACAAACTTATTATTTTTTTTGTGGATATATTAACACAAATTTAATTTTTAATTAAATTTTTGATATATAAAATAACAATTTAATAACAAACAACTACATTGATATATATATAATTTAAATATATATATATATATATAATAACACTAATATTAGAGACCCCATAGTCATAGACTGAAAAATACACGTAACAATGGGCTACATATTTTCAGGTGTATTGTATAGTGTGAGTTGCAAAATATTAAATATTATATATTAATAATACAAATATATAATTCAATTTTATTAATATTTGATAAATCTATGAACACATATAYATATATATATATAACAAACACTGCAACTATACTATAAGTAGATTACAATTTTTCACTAATGGATATACAGGTATAAGTTGTGTGTTGTGGTGTGTTGTTTGAGAGTCCAAAAACACTGGTTTGTTTGGTTGGTATGTATGTATGAGTGTGTGTTGTCTTATAATATAAAAAAAAGTTATGTCAGAAGTGTATATCCCTCTCCTCTTGATGTGGATATAGAAGACCAGAGCCAACCACCAGAAGTTTGTTTTGAGAGCTCTCAAAATGTCAGCTCTCAAGGAGTTGTCAGACAAGTTATTACTGTAGTAGTAGTAGTAGTAGTAGTGGTAGTAGTATTGATAGTCTATGTGAAGAACTGAACTTTTCTTAAAGAGGGCAACATTTAAGGGCCAAACCCAAAGATACTGATAGTGCTGGTGCTAGTGCTGGTCTGGTTGGTAGTAGTGGTGGCACTGGTAGTAGTAATAGTAATAGTAGTAGTAGTAGTAGTAGTGATCATTACATTTGCCAAACATTATTGGAAAAACAGGATTAATTTATTTTTATTTATTTAAATTGGGGGGACTTGGGGGGATTTAGGCGRCTAATAGCCACACACACACACACACACACACATATATATATATATATATATGTGTGTGTGCTTAACCCCTCCAAAAAAATATCATAAAATTAAATATTCAAATTTATTTTGTTTTAATAATATAGTTTACATAAATATTTATCAATTAAATTTTCATTGTTTTCCTATATTTTGCTAGTGTGTTGAATATCTTAATTAATTAATAATAATTTTTTTTTAAATAAACTATTTTACTGTTAAGCCCCAAAAAAAATATTGCAACAATCATTGCAATACTACAGTAAACTACATACAGTATATTAGTATACCTGTTTTTAGCTGTATATCTATATATTGTACCGTATTTTACAGTACTATTTGCAAATAAATTAATACTATAGATAAACATAACCTCAAAACTCTAGTAGTGATGGCACTGTTACCTATGTACTAAAAAAAATTGGCTATATTTTATGTATTTGTAATGTTATGCAATTTACAATACAATTGCCGCCTCCCTGGTTGTAGTAGTTGTTGGTGTTGTTGTGGACCCCCTCCTGCAGTGAGAGAGATGACAATCCACAAAAGATGCTAATTTACAATAGACTGTATGTATGGGCGCTCAACAACAACAACATCATCAAAAAAATAGGGTCATCCCGTACGCGCTATCGTAACACTAATACCTATTCAACAACACATATATATAAAAAAAGGCTAAAATACATTACAATTGTTGTATAATAAACAAGATATGTTAGAGAGAGAGASCAACMACTACTACAACAACTACTACTACAAGACATACCATAAGAAAACAACTGTTTTTTGTTGGGTATTAGAAATATGCAAAAGAAAAAACAAGTTTTTCAAATGTTTTCTTTTGATAAAATTTTTGTTTTTTTTGGATCAATCTCTTTGATGCGTCTCTCTCTCTCTCTCTCTCTCTCTCTCTCTCTCTCTCTCTCTTCTTTAATCAATTGAATGTCAGATTTAGATTACAACACAAAAATAAAATATAATTTTTTTTGTTTCTTTAGTGTCTCTCTCTCTTTAAAGTCAATGAACCACCCGATGATTATTGAGACACTGATTGAATCAATTGATTATTATTATTAAAGTATTGAATAAAACATAATATTTAATATTTAAAAAAATAATAATAATATAATATTACCGGTAATATAATTAATGATATATAATTAATAATAATTGTTTTAGTAATAAAATCTCAATTTGATAACTCTTATTGCTAATTGAAAATTAAATTAAAATACATATACCGTATATATATATATATATATATATATATATTAATATAATGCAAAATTTTATTGAAATACCTTACGGTATTATAAAAAATTATAATTTATAATATACTGTACTTTATTATATTAAAAAAAAATAAAATAAATTGTTTAAAAAAATTATGCGATTATGATAAACAACAACAACAAAATATTCAGTCTATAAGTAATTGTAATTTTTTTCAAAAAATTATATATCGTTTAATGAATAATTATTTTGGTATTTAAAAAAAATCTCTTTAAAAAATCAATCAACAATAATAATAATTAATAATAATAACAACAACAACAATAATTTTAATTATTTAATAAATTTTTCTTTTTATCAATCTATAGAAAAAAACATTTGGAGTTTCCGAGTGCAAAAAACATTTAATTAATAAACTTTTTTTTTTTTAAATATATATATAATATTTAAGATAAAATTTTTTTAAGGTAATCTACACAAAAAAATAATAATTATTATTATTATTATATATAACGTTATATACAATACTATAAAAATTAAAAACAATTCAAATAAAACATTGGGAGATATTATTATTATTATTATTTGTTTGTCAACTATTTGTTTGTTTTTTCGTGTTTTTTTGTAGTTGTATTGTTTAAATGATAAATAAATTAATTTACAATTTTTTTATCTGTCTGTCTGTCTCTCTCTCTCTCTCTCTCTCTCTTTATCTTTATTTTCTTATATAATATATGTCTACTAAAGTATTGGTTGTGTTACCACAGGACATACTGTTGAGATATTCTATGCAAATGATCACATGAGGGTGTCTTCAAACTTTTAGCCCTTTCCTCGAGATCTTTGTCCCGGAAATTACGAGCTCTCCAAACCATACTTTCCTCTGTTAAAGTGGTGGTTATAAAAAAATCAAATAAACAATTAGATTTTTTGTGTATACAGATAATAGGTATGGGTATAGGTGTACACCAAACAGTGTAAAAAAAATGGGCTGGATATGGTGTATGCATTTTTGGGAGAGTATTCAGGGTTAGAGACAGGTATTTCACTCAATTAGTTTAYAAAATAATAAATATTTGAATAAACCAAACATTCAATTTATGAAATTGACCATGTGCATAATTGTAGATAATTCTAAACTCAACATTATTGTTCATTGGTCATTATTTTGATTAATTGTAAAATTAACTAGATGAACTATTTTATGTTAATGCTATTATCTAGCTAGTTTTACAATTAATCAAAAAATAAACAATGTTGAGTTTAATATTATCWACAATTATGCCCCTTGGTCAATTTTGTCAATTGAATGTATGGTTTATTCARATATTTATTAATATAAACTCTAATTGAGTGGAATACCTGTCTCTAACCTGAATACTCTCCCAAATGCATACACACCATATATACCCATATTTTTTGACACCAACACCAACATCAAAAAACATACTATAATTGCGTTCCCGAAAACAGGATGCCCTCAAATTGGACACATAATCTTCTTCGACTTGTTGTTCAATTCGACGTATGGTTGCCTTACTATTGTCTTTGTCGAAGTTTTCTCTAACAAAATACGGTATCTCTAGGTTTTGGGTCTTTCTTTCGTATTGGTATTTCCTGTAAAAAAATACAACAACAAAAAAAACAACAAAATTATTATCATTTTAAAAAAAATCTTAAAAAATCGGGAACTACTGAGACATACTGAGTTCGGCTGAGACTATACACTGGATCCGACACAAAGAATGTGCTCATCAGCGATAGACACAGTAGGACTAAGACGGGCATCATTTGGAGCAATACATTGTAACCGGAGGCCACTTCCTGATTGTTTTGATGGTTATGTTGTCGATGTGAGGTTTCGCGATACGGCCGATTAGTACGCCGTACGTAGACATTGCCCGACGGAAAACCGCCGCCAAAAAACATATTGAATATTTCGTCGGCATTGATATCGTCGCCAAAACCGCGTGTATAGTCATAGTAGCCGCCATTGTTTTCRTAGTACTGGTTGTGCGACCGTCGCCGCTGGTCCTCATCCGAGCCGTACATGTCGTAACGTTTGCGCTTTTCGGCGTCGCTTAGTATAGCGAAAGCGTTGCCAATCATTTTGAAGGCTTCGGCAGCACCGGGAGCCTTGTTTTTGTCCGGATGAAACTGTAGGGCCAGTTTGCGGTACTGTTTTTTAATGTCCGAATCGGTAACATCTTTGGTTACCGACAAGATTTCGTAATAGTCTTTGCATTTTTTTATTTTCTTAACCGACGCTAACTGTTCGTCAGTGTACTCGCGATTCATTGCATTGTAAGCACTGGAGGAATGACTACTATATACCACTATTACCACCGTTTGTATGACTATTGCTATCGGCGGCGGCGGTGCCGCCGGCAGTGCGGCCAAAACTACTAGACCGCGACCGGTGTCTCGGCTCGTTATTACTACTACTATGTGTTGGCGAATCCTTTTGCTGATCCGATGATTGGCTTTTATCGGCGGTGTTGTCGCCGCCGTTATCTTCTTCTTGTTGTTGTCTTAATCTCTCCAATAGCTCTGTGTGTATGTGATTGGGACACAAAAACCGGGTAATGAATCAATTGAATGGTCAGACAGACAGACACTAACCTTTGGCCTCCGTTGACGGATACAGTCGTTGAGCTTTAATCAGATATTTGATGGCCTTGTGGTGATCGCACTCGCGAATCGCCGATTTGGCCAAATCGACGCACCGTTCGCTTTCGTCCCGATTGCCGTCCATTTACGGGTTGGTAGGATGTTGTTGTTGTTGTTGTTGATGATGATGACGATGTTGTTGTTGTCCAACACTGAACAGCTGATCCACACAAAGATAAAGTTATCGCTGTTATGGTTGTGTTGTTGTTGTTGTGGACACTCAATGACTGGACAACTGTTAAGACGACGTCATTGTGTATTGAAATGAATGACAAATAATAATAATATTATATATAAACTGTTGTTATGTTTATTTGCACTCAATTTTGTGTCTCCAATGAGTTTCTACTGTACTATCGATCACTCAATCAGACAAACATCTCTACTCTAACTACTAACACACGACACATATAAAAATTAAATCAATTGCACGAAAACATCTCTAGTTTTAAACAGAGACATAGCTATAGACGACATGCAGCTAAATAACAAACATGTGTGTGTGTGTGTGTGTGTGTGTGTGTGTGTGTGTGTGTGTGTGGTGTGTGTGTTTGTGTGTGTGTGTGTGTGTGTGTGTGTGTGTGTGTGTGTGTGTGTGTGTGTGTGTGTGTGTGTGTGTGTGTGTTGTGTGTGTGTGTGTGTGTGTGTGTGTGTGTGTGTGTGGTGTGTGTGTTTGTGTGTGTGTGTGTGTGTGTGTTGTGTGTGTGTGTGTGTGTGTGTGTGTGTGTGTGTGTGGTGTGTGTGTGTGTGTGTGTGGTGTGTGTGTGTTGTGTGTGTGTGTGTGTGTGTGTGTGTGTGTATGTGTGTGTGTGTGTGTGTGTATGTATGTATGTATGTGTGTGTGTGTGTGTGTGTGTGTGTGTGTGTGTGGCAGCCATCGTAATTGTCAAACTAATTGGTTCACAACATTTGCAACTAAATATTAGATTAGCCATATTATGTGTGTACTGTTTTATGGCGGGCATATATTGTGTGTGTTTAAATTTATAGCTTTAATTATTTTATTGTTTTAATTGAATTAATAATTTAATGATAATTATATTTAAAAAGCATTTTTCAATGATTAATGATTTTTTTTAGATAAATAAATTTATTTAGTATTTTAATAGTAAAGTATTTCAATAGTTTAGTACAAAAAAAAACTATACATACAATGTATTATAACTGTATATTACGGTATTATTAATAATTTATTTTTAAACTATATTATMTCTATCAATAAACTAGATATATATAGTTTATGATTAGAAAAATTAAATAAACAAATTAATAGATATATTTAATATAATAATATATATTTCAATTTTTTTTTAAATAAAAATAATTACCGGAGAATTAATTACATTTTACAAAAAAATTGTTTAATTTAATAAGTTTTTTCCCTATTTTTTTTATAAAAAAATTTAATAAACAATTTCCTATTTATTTTCAAACAAACTTTTCCCTTAATCTAAACTAAATTAGTGTTATATATATATATATTGTAAATATTTATATTAAATTWTAATTACATTAATACACAAAAAAATTAATATCWCTTTTTTCACTCTAATATAAATACTGTTTAATTTTTATTTACAACATACAAGTCATGCATTTTTTTTAATTAATTAATTAAAAAYACATTTTCAATKATTATTATTATTACCGTAATTTWGAAACATAGATCTATAATATAATGGTGTGTCAATTGATAGATAAAACAATTTGCGAAAAAAAAATTATTTAAAAATAGTTTTATATATAATAAAAAATATATATTTTCACTTTTTTCTAAACAATTTTCACTGAATTAAAACTCTTCTGCAAATTAATTACTTCTTTATTTAATCTCAAACTTTCCGTTTTGAACGCCTCTTTGTTGACCTTTTTCTCCACTCTTCTCTGTCGTCGATAGTCTCGGAGTTCAGACTTTCGGTGTTTCCTCTGTTCGGGCGTCTCATCCGCCGGCCGTACGGACAGTTCGGTTACACGCGAAGCAGTCGTACGAACCGATTTGGCGATCATCGGTAAATCATTGTTGTCGGCGGCGGCGTCGTTAAGTGCGTTCAATTTGGCCAACTTTTTGGCAGTCAGTCCMGGYTTTTCGAAACAACCGACGGGTAGACCGGTTCGTTCATTGATCTGAATTCTTGACGACTGTTTATTGTTGGATTCGCTTATCATTTTTGGCCGATTATATAGGTTAGAGTAGGTACTGATTATCGACTCGCAGTCATACCTGTCCTCACGATTCTTACTGTTCTCGTAGATCTCGATTTCGGTTAACACTTCTCCTCTATCTTTAGGCCGATTACTGTCACAATTATCGGCTTCTTCTCGTTTATTATCATAAAACTCGTAAAACTCTTTTTTATCCACATTTTCGTACAATTGTTTTACATTCTTCATGTTTGCATACTCTTCGGCYAAATCGGCCAACAGTTTACTGTTGTTCGGCTGAATCGGTCCCTCGATATCGTCCAAATCAAGACCACCGATGTCGCAGTCGTTTGCRTACTCTGTTTCGTATAGGGTTTCAAATCTTTGATCCAAAATTGTTAAGTTATTATTTCGTCTCATCACTGAAGAGCTCATTGAATAGTTGGTAAAATGTGATTTAGTTTCTTCATCTGAAAATCCATTACCAGATGAATCCGAATCGTTGTCCTCATCCGAATCACAGACCGTTGAAGAGTCACTATCGGAAACATCTTCCCATTGGTCGTCGTCGTCATCATTGGCCACTTCTTCATCCACACCTTCTGCTTGCATAATAAAGTCGTCGTCCATCTGATTGTTGGGATCATCAAAATCGTAGTCGTCGTCCATAGCGGCCACCAAATCCGGATCCCAATCGGGTTGCGGTCCAACCGGCAGTACAGCTTTGTTCAGCAGACCTTCACGTTCTTCGACAGCCGACGGAAACAGCGACGACGGCAACGAAACGCCAGACGTCTTATTGTTAGCGGTCTTCGGCTGATTAGTCTTTTTCGTCTTGTCTTTGTTGGCCACTTCGTGCCATTCGGCCACCTGATCCACATCACGCAGATGTTGCAGATAGTCGTAGTCATCATCGAAGTGTATGCCATACTTCCGGTGCTCTTCAATTCGTTGCCGTTGTCTATCAGTACCACCGCTGCCGCCGCCGTTGTCATCCATGTCCACCAAAACCATTTGCGGTGCCGTTTCATCCGCTGCTAACGGATCTCTTTGGCTTCGGTGGACTAATTTGAATCTAATCGACGACTTTTTGTCGAATAGTTTCTTTGTCCGACCCATTATTATTTGATCCAACAGCTGATCCAACAAACAAAATGTAAACTTTTTTTTTAAACAAAAATTTAACAAAAAATTTAAATACAATTACAAACACATTATGATTGACACATGTGTTCAATGCATTGACTATTATATTGTATTAGTGTTATTGAATGCCATATGTATTATTAAATGTGATTACAATTGTATACACAATAATATAGAGGGCATCACTCGTGTCATTACAACGACTGCTATAAGTTTTTATTTTTTTTATTTTTAAAAAAAGTTATTTAAATATGTGTTTTTAAATGTGTGTTTCAAACACACATATATATCATATGATAATTAGTGTGTGTTTTATGTGAGGGTTTTTAACTTTATATATMTATATAYATATATAAGAAAATGAAACTTTTTGTTTTTAAATGTATATATTATATCATAGTATAYACTGTATATATATAATGTCACTWTAAAATGTTTTGTCTAAAAATATGACCATTAATTTGATACCTATTATCTCTCTCTCTCTCTCTCTCTCTCTCTCTCTCTCTCTCTCTCTCTCTCTCTYTCTCTCTTACAGACACACAATAACAACTGTTTGTTCATTCATTTCAAGTGTCTGTTTGTTTTATATATATTGTTTGTTAAAATAAATAACTTTTTTTCCAACTTAAAGTTGTTATGCATTAATACCTGTATGAAACACTTCCGTATAAATTATATATATATATATATATATTTATTTAAAAGACAAATAATGTAAATAATTTAATGAACCATTAAGTGAAATCTTTTTGTAGCCTTATATATATAAATTAAAGTATATAAATGATGATATATTAGATGTTATATAATATTACTTATTGTTGTATATATTGTTTTCACATACAGTCACACACACACACACACACACACACACACAATCACAATGCATTACAAAATAGCGATAATTGTGTTGTTAGTGTTAGTGTTTAACACACATAACAAACAAAAAATTTATTTTTTAAAAATATTTAAACATTTTTCTCTTATCACACTTTTTTCATATAATATAATCACATTTGGCATAAATTAGACATTAATATATATGAATCTATGTTTATATATATATATATATATATGGTGTGTATGTTTATGTGTTTTAAAGCCGGCTTACAATATATATCTATATATATCTATACATTTTTTGTTGTTAAATGATTATAATCACCTGTGCTATTGTAAAGCACGGGTGAATCTACAGTATCTATGATAATATACCTGTATTTTATCATTAGATATACAGGTATAAGTGTATAAATCATATACACCCTATCAGTTGGTTAGGTTAATATTGTTAATAATCAGTGATAATTTATTTTATTTTTATTTATTAATAGTTATTTTTTAAAAATTAATAACATTGAATATATTGTGTATAGTTTAGACAATATTTTTTTATCGATGATGTTTTTTTAAAAAAAATAAATAACTCATTTATGCTAATACTGTATATGTTTATGTTATTAATGAAATTTTTTTAATAATTATTTCAACAACAAAAAATTTGATATACATTATTGATAGGAATATTATACATGTAAATTATTATTATCTAAAAATATTTTTTTTTTTGAAAAAATAGTATAGAAGTTCAATATAAATGCCATATATTATAGATATATATATTGATAGAGTATATTGTCCTAAAAATTAGTCAATAATAACTAACAAAACAAAATTGTTTTTTTAAAAAAACTAATTTATGTCTATAATTGAGAAAATTTTAATTATTAAAATATGGTAAAATATTTTAGTAAAAATATACATATATTTAGATTAGTTTTGCAATCTATTGTGTTTATTATTATTATTTATTTATTTTTAAAACAAAAAAATACCATTACATACACCAATATTACACATAATATCAATACTAAATATAGGTATTTGTTAATTAGTAGTAGTAGTAGTAGTAGTAGTAGTAGTAGTAGTAGCAATAATAATAATAATAAATTAGTAATAAAATTAAATAAATCATTATTTCAAATAAAAATTGGGACATATTTTATATATATATATAATAAATTATATATACATTGTACCAATAAATATAGAAATTGGGACTAATTAGTTTCTATAATACAATTGTTTGTTATTATTTATGGGGGAGATCATTAACAGTATAAATAAATAAATAAAAAAATACATAAAAATTATACACAAACACAACAACTAAAAAAATATTTTTAATTTTTTACCCCCAAAAAAATTATGTAGTATTAGATACTGCACAGTATATATAATAATAATTATTATTATTATTTATAAAAAAAATTGTTATTTAAATGACAATTAATCAATTATATTATATATTATTAAAATCGTTAATAAGAGGATTAATTATGACCCAAACTTTTTTCGTATAAAATTTAAACTTTTTTATATTATAAAATTAATTGATTATATATAAGATACTGTATCAACAAAAAAAATTATTATTATAATTCAAATTAATCAGATAAAAAAATTTAATATATTTCTATGTAATGATATTTTATTTAAAATATTTGAATTTATTAATATTTTATTTTAATAAAAATTATTGTCTTATTATTAAATAAATTAATATTGATATATACAGTATAATTTGTTTTAAAAAGAAAGTATAATATTTAAGGAAAAAATTTCCGGACAAAACATTTTTAAATAATATTATTAATTATATTTACAAAATAATAAATATTATAATAATAATCAGAATTTCAATTTAAAAAGTCACAAATATTTTTGTTGTTTTTGTTGTTAGTTTCATAATTTATTATAACTTTAAGCAAAAAGCAAAGAGAGAGAGAGAGAGAGAGAGAGAGAAATTGAAATTAAAAAATTATTTTCTGAAAATTCTTTAATTTTTATCGGAAATAATATATATATAAWRTATCAAACAGTATAAAACACTTTCGGTTATAATAATCACCTAAATTTTTTTTCTGTATATTTAATTTTTATTTATATGTATGTGATTATATAAAAGTACAGTTAAATTTTAATACATAATATATTTATATAAGTTATATATATATAGATAATATTATATACAGCATATATATATTGTAACTGTTTTTTTATTGCCCCTTAACTTGTTTGACAACTCCTGAGCTGTAAATTTTGTGCCCAAAAAACTTTTTCTCTTAAGTTCTCTCTCTCTCTCTCTCTCTCTCTCTCTCTCTCTCTCTCTCTCTCTGTATTTAGCAAAGGATTCGCTTCTGACTGACATATCTTTAAGACAGACCAGTGTTTTGATTCATACCGGAGAGTACAGTACAGTAGTTAATAGTTAGCAATAATAACAATATATTATAACAAACTGTGTTAATAAAAAACATTATATACACAGTATATATATAAAAGTTTTAATTTTTTATCAGTACTGTCAATACAATTGATTTTATTAATATGARAAATAATTTATTTTTTTAAAAAATATGTAGACTATAATTGATTGGTGATTTGGTGTTTGTTTGTTTGTTTGTGTGTATATATGTCTCAGTGTATATATATATGTAAAGTTTATTGTGTGGATATTTAACACACAAAAAATATCAATGTAGTTTAATAATAATAGTAAAAATTTAATTATTTTTTGAATAGAAAAAAGTGATTTCAAAAAAACTTGTGACAAAAAGTGCTTTTTAAGTGCAATATATGATACAAATTATTTAAATAATAAAAATAAAAGTTTTCAAAAAAGTTTTTTTTTGTGGTGGGTTTGTAAATGTGTTATATGTGTTATCCAATTAGGAAATTATGATTTTATTATTAACTAAAAAACATTTAATATCGTGGCTATGGATTACACTGTATTGTTGTTGTTWTTCAACGACAGCTTTAGGTGATTATTCTGGTAAATAATTTTTTTAAATATTAATTAATTAATTATATATATAATTATTATTAACTAATTAATCGAATAATTATGGTTTTTTGAAAATAATTTAGTTATTTTTGTTTATTTATTTATTTTTTAAATTTAAATATTAATTAATTAATTATATATAATTATAAATAATTTTTATTAACTAATTATAATTGATAATTATTGTTTTTTTTTTGAAAATTTAGTTATTTTTATTTATTTTTTTGTGTGTAAAATTTTACGGTATCTATACATACCGTTAATACATTACATTTACTTTTTTTTAGTGTGATATTTATATCTATTATTATTTATAATTTACACGCAATAATTTTTTTTGTCAACATAAAAAAATTGTAATTAATTTTTTTTGCCGCCGCTAAAATGTGTTTTTTTAATCATATAATGTTATTTTAAAATACTATAAAATGTGTTTTTTATCTTTTTTAATATTTTTTTTGTAAATTACTATATATAGTAAGCAAAGTCATTGAATTTAATATATTAATATATACGGCAAATAAATAACGGTATACTTTATAAGATTTTATTTTAAGATAGTTTTATTTTTAATTTAATAAATAAAATAAAATAAAATTATATATAATAATTATAATTTAAGATTTATATTCATTACRATTTCTCAGATATAAAATTTAATAATAATAATAATTTGCTTAATCCTCTTATTATTAAAAAATTTATATAAATCACGTAAAAATTTTTTGGATGATATTTTTTGGGACAATATGTGTAATACAGTATTACTTTATATATTWTTTKTTTTGTCTTATTGTCTAAAAATAAATTTTATAACAATAATATATATATTTATATACAGTATTATATTATATATATATATAAATTTATTATTAAACAGATTAACATGATTTAAATTGTGTTAATGAAATATAATAAAATAGTTATTAAAATGATTAATCACATACACATTACTTTTTTTAAAAAAAAAGTAAAATAATATTAATAATAAAATAATAGATAATAAAATTTTTGTACTCTTTATATAATAAATTAATAAAATATTTTATTATTTTAAGTAAAAATAAAAAAATGACCCACATAATTATTATATAGTGATGATCTAGATAAAAATACTTGGCTAATAAAATAACTATTGATGAATATTTATATATATATTAAAAAAAACTAAATAGTTTTATACATATAAAATAAAAATAAAAAACACTTTTCAAAATATTTTTACAGTTAAAGTTACAATTATTATAATCAAAAGTTTTATTTGAAAAAAATTAATAATAAGGCGTTTTTTATTTTATAYATTTAAAAMATTGATTTATCAGGGTATTATTAATTAATTACTATATTATTATTATAAAAAAAACATAGAGTAATAGTATAGTTAGATTTTTTATCTATTAAAATATTCAACTATCTATAAACTATAATATATACGATAAACTGTAGTAAACTTTATATTAAAAACATTTTTATATTATTATATTTATAAAATATTAATAAATTTTTTTGATTTGACTTATTTATCCCACATTTTTCGTGATTAATGTAAATTCAATTTGTTTTTTCTTATAAAATAATATTAAATATAATATGAGGATCACTGTATAATTTAATGTTATTTTGTTGTTGTTGTTGTGTTCAAACAACAAATATTTATATATGCATATTTCAAATTAAAGAAACTCAACAAAAATAGATAAATAAAAATTTTCAAAAAAAAACGTTTAAAATTATTTCGTAAAATTATGTATGTTTATGCTAATATACATTATACATATATATATATGTATATATATACAGACACAGATATATATAATTAAAAATTCAATAGGTGTTCATTAACCCCCCACTGTCAACCCCCCTGTATCACACATATTCTGTATATATATATATAAGTTAAATATTATGTAATATTTTTGTGTTCACTAATAAAAAGTTTAGCGCATGAATACCATAACACAATACATTATGTATTAAAAAAAGCGATACAACTGTTGATTACATTAAAAGTGCCGAAACTTTAAAACTTATATATAATATACAGTACATACTGTATRTATATATATATAATATACTGTATATAAAGTATATATAAATTTATATAATTTTTATTTATATTTCTTTTTTACAATTATTATTATTGTTATTATTATTACAACTATTTATTAATATTAGGTATTATTATTATTATTATTAGTATTAGTATTGCAAAACTTCTTTCTATTTATTTATTTTTTTAGGCCAATACCAGGGCTATTGAATAAATAGTTGTAAATTACTGGTGAGTTGTCTATTAAGKCAAAAAAAAAAGGCTAAAATAAATTCCTCATAATATTAGACAACAAATATAATATACATTTTATACAATTATTTATATACTGAACACTGCCTGAGGTCACTATATATAAATTATATACAGTTTACCTATCAATTTATTTGCTAAAATGTATTATAATTTTTTTTATTATTTTTATTAGTAGAGATGCAAATAAAAATAAAGTATTACAAACTGTATTTTATGTACAATTGAATGGATAAAAAAATACATTAGTTTTTATTTTATTTCGATACATTATGTTATATATATATATATATGATATATATATAGATATATGGTATATATATATAGATATATGGTATATATATATAGATATATGGTATATATATATAGATATATGATATATATATATATAACATTATATTATAAAAAGTATATTATAAAAATAAAATAAATTTATTGATAATTTTAGTATTTTTAACATTTTAAAAATTTATTTATTTATTATTTATTTATTTACTAATYATAAAATCATGCAATTAATTGATATTTTACACACACATTGTAWAGGCTGTAAATTTTATCCGATTGGCGAAAACCGGAGGTTTGAAAGGGTGGCCGAAAACCTACCCGTCGGTGAGTCCGTGTGTCACCTACTCCTAACCCACCCCTAACCCCCGTTTGCCCCAATTGTTTGCATATATATATATATAAAACATAAATTATATATTTTTGTCTGTTTTTTATTTGCATATATAAACCCTATGAAGGAAATGAAGTGTTCAAAGTTGAAGTCCATCCGAGAGTCGACTTCCGACTGGAAGCGGTCGACAATAGCTTAAGTGATATAAATTATTTCAAATACGATGTCATCGATGAAAAAACAGTTGCCATAAAACTCGCTCATACTCTTGAAGATCTGGTCGATAAGGTATGTATATGTATATATACATGTATATCCATAATATTGTAATGATTAGGACATGCCATGAAAATTKATAACCAAAAAAAAAAAAATCTCAATGACATCCAAAATAACATACTGTATAATATGACATGACATATGAAATGCAAAATTATTTAAATAAATAATTAAATGTTTTAAAAATAAACATTTAGTTAAAAAAAATAATTTTTTTTAGACAGACAGACACACGTCTTAGTCAAACAAACAAACAGACAGAAAAAAAATTAATTATATATTTATTTATTTAATTACATATTTGTTAATCTCTTTTTTTTGATTATTATTATTATTATTATTAATTAAACAGAGAGATCCTCAAAGTGTACTCAAATTCAAGCTCACCTGTAAAGGTGCCGTAGGAACGGTATGTCATTTAAATTTTGTATTTATATTTAAAAAAAAATTTATTATTATTATTCATATTTTACATAACTTAATGTTTACCTGATTTTTCGCTATTTATATAACTAAAAAAATTATTATTTACTTTTAATACTATACAACAAACCAACAACAAGCCTTTATTTAATATTATATTTTAATAGTTTTTTGTGCTTAACTTTTTTTGTTGTTGAAAAAGCGCTTAATGTTATGTTTGTACTAATTATGCATTTTTTATTATATCATATATATATATATWWCTATATTATATATATATATATATTATATAATTATAGCGATTAAAATTTATTTTCGACAGCACTTTTACCATTAGCCGTACAGTACGTGTCAGTCAATGCTTAACCCTTCAAATATAAAATTAGAAAAAAATAATAATTATTTTTAAATATATATTTATATGACTGAAAAAATATTATATATATCATATATATATATATATCAAATAATGAGACTAATTATATAATATAAATGCCATACCCCTTAAGCCTATTTATAAGAGGGGGGCTGTACCCCACCCACCTTGTGGCTACTTATCAGATTTTAGATAAATTTATATATATATAAATACATATAAATATATTTAATTTATATGACATATCAATTATTGACATATTTTTTAAATGATGGCAATTATAATTATATATATATATATATATATATATATAAGTTATATATATACACTGTATATTAAAATTTAAAACATTTAAATTGTTTAATTAAGTAGAGATTAAATTATATTTTAAAAATAAAACAAAATTGATTTTGATGTCTGCTATCAACAAAATTAAGCTAATATGAGTTTAAACTCAATTTTTTTTATTATTAATAATTATAGTTTTCATTAGTTGTTATTTTTGTTTTGTTTTTTATTTTTTATTTTTTTGACAAAATAAAATATTATATTAAATTATATTTCATCCCTAAATCATCATAAATAGGCAAATAATTATACAATTTATAATTTTAATAGTTTAGTTCAAACCCATAATATATAATATTAAGTTACAAAAAAAGTCATAAATGTTAAAGTATTTAATTTTTTTGGGTGCATTAAAAATATAATAACAAACAAATAAAATAACATAATTTTTTATACCGATTAATATGGTGTTAACAAAATTGGTTTTATATTAAATAATAATTATATTTTYWAAAWAATACAATCATTTTGTCTATTGTCTCAATTTAATTAGCATTTAAATTATTTTTATAGATATATATAGTAATATTTTTGTTTAACTTTAATAAGCCGTTTAACAAAAATATATTAATTTATTTTAAATAATTATATATAAAAATTGTGAGAAATTTTTGTTTTCTTACACTTTTACACTTAATATCATATTTAGTATATAAAACAATAAATAATATGATATATATATATATATATATATATTAAATATACCCCTACAATAGTGTCATATTTAATATATTATTCAATTGAATGGGCGAGTAGTATAAGTGTGTGTGTGTGTAGGCATACCCTGACATCAATGCATTATACAATCATCAATAAAAGTTTTAAACTTATTTTAAACAACAACAACAACAAAAAAAAAATACAAAATAAATAATAACAATAACAAAAAATAAAATTATTCAATAGTAACCATTACATTATCAAATTCATTGACTCGTGTCGTGAAAAGTTTATTTTAATGTATAGTAAATGTACAGTAAATATATACAATATTTGATATATATATATATATATATATATATATATAATGTTGAAAAGTTGTATACATACAAAAAAATATATATATTTTGTATTTATATATAAAGTTTACTTTCGTAYATATATATAAATAGATAATGATGAATGTCTATTTATTTTATTATTATTTTTTGTTTTATAAATTTTTATAAATATATCATACAAACACTTACATTACAAACTAGATTTGAGTGGAAAAATTATATTTATTTAGTAAATATTTWATTTTTTTTAAATCATCAAATATATATATACAGTATATATATATATATATATATATTTAGATATAATATTTCAATCAAACTGTTTCACAGATGTCATAGAAGATTATTATCTAAATAAGAGAGAGAGAGARAGAGAGAKAAAATTTTTAGCCCAGTTTTTTATATACAGTATATATATACAGGTATATATATATATATATATATATATATATATATATATATACAGGTATATATATTAAATAAAATACATTATGATAATACATGTATTTTTAGATAGTATTTCTAGTTAAATTGAAAATTAAATTAAATTAAAAACTATCAAATAATATTTATTTGTTTCTATCTTTAACCTCTAATCTATATATACAAGAGATATTGTTGTTGTTATTATTTTTTATTATTATAATTAATATAATATTTGTTTGTTTGTTTGTTTGCCTGAAATATTAGTTCAAAAAAGAGAGCAACACATATATATATAATATATAAAGTTATAAATTTTGTTTGGCTCTCATTTTACTATATATATATATATATATAAATTATTTATTATGGATCAAAATTAATAATATACAGTAGAAAAATAGAAATAATATACATATATATATATATATATATATAAAAACACAAAATATGAATAATAAATATTGAGTTTATTTTTGTTTATGAATATTATTATTATTATTTATTATTCATTCACCCAATAATATGATAAATTGAATACATTTTTCAATATATAACTTATATATATATAWAAAATATATTACTGTATAAATATATATTGAAAAATAAAAATAAAAACAAATAAAATAAAAACATACGTCAATTTATTATGCATATACAATATTTATATAATATATATATATATACAAGTGTTTTGCTTTTGTTGATAATAATAAATTAATAATAAATTATAAACGCTTGTGTTTTTTTATTTATTTTTATTTATATACGGTATATATATGTATAGTATATATATATATATAATGCTAAGAAGCTCTCCTGGTTATTGCAAATGAGATTTTCAACAAAAATAAATAAATAAATAATTTTTTTTAATCACATAATATAATATGATATATAAAAAAAGTTTGAAAAATCTTTATATATATATAGTATAYATATATGTATATACAGTAAGTTATAAATATTTGTCTCATATTTAGGTTATGCTTTCACTACTTTAAAATTAGTTATACACTTATATTAAGACAATAGCACTTTTAAAATTTCAAATGAAATTATTATTAAATAAAAAAAAAGACTCACAAAGAGAGAGAGAGAGARAKATGCTCTCTCTCTCTCTCTCTCTCTCTCTCTCTCTCTCATTCATATGATTTTAAAAATGACATAATGATTAACACATCACTTAAATAAACACCAATTTAGACGAAACTTTCTTATTATTATTATTACTATTATATATTTTTTCTCTCTTCAAACCTATTGTCCAAAACTATGAGCCCATTATATATAGTAAAGTAATTGTCAAAAAAAACTTTTGTTTCCTTATTGTATTTTAAAAACCCTATCTGATAATTAATAATAACTTTTTTATATTATTATTATATGCATAACTAATTTAGTTTTGTTTTGAACAAAACAAAATTATGACACTTGTTATCCCATATATATATATTAATGTAAGTGTTGTTGACAATACCGGTATACATATATATACACAATGTATTTATAAAAAAGTTATTATTAATTATTTTATAATAATAAATAAATAAAATATATATATATAGATATCTACCGGTGATTTGACATGTGAGGTTAATAGCACCGGTAGATTTTTTTTAAAWTAAAAAAATTAAATAAAATGATGAGGTGACTTATTTTAAATTTAGATTTAAAATTTTTATAATTATTATTATAATAATTATTTATATAATACATATTGTTTTCATATTAGCATTTCTATGAGTTATCTTCAATATTATCACTAAATGAAAAATATTATTATTATTTTTTTTAAAATTTTGTAGTAGAAAATGAAAATATATAATTTTACAAATGTTTTTATTTTTACCMAAAAAAAAATAAATAAAATCTAATTTTATTTATGTTTCCCTCTCTTTATTCTTCAATTATGTTTATTACAACAAAAAACATTATTTGCAATTAAACAAAACAAAACCAAAAAAAAAAAAATTATAAATATTTAAAAGCGATAAAAAGTGATAATCTTCTTATACAAAATAATATTTATTTATTTTTTTAAAAAACAAAATATTATATTTTTATTAGAGATGATCATACAGTACACACTAACCAACAACAACAAAAAAATCGTGATTACAACCACATTATATAATTGATATCATAAATGAAAAAAAATTAGCATAATTTGCAATTAAATGTATAGATTTCATAAACAAAGTGATGTATTGTTTAAATGTACCAAATTTTTTATTTATTTTTTAAATAATAATAATTTGCTGGTTATATAATACATGTGTTGTTGTTGTTGTAAATTATTATTGAAATTTAAAAAAAAATATTTAAGGATAATCTTAATCCCTGGTGACCCAATCCGTGTGTGTTTTTTTAAAAATATTTTAATTTTAATTCTAGTATTTTACATTTTACTTATTTATATGAATAATTTTGATGAAATTAAAAAACTTAATTAAAAAAATTAAAATTTATGTTATTTTTTTTAAAAACAAAAAACAAACTAATTTTTGTTATTTTTTTGGTTGTTTTTTTTTAAACAGGAAGAGGCATTTCTACCGGTGACAGGTATGTGATAATTGTTATGAAAATATTAATATTGTAATACATGTGCTAATAAAWTATATATAAAATGTAAATAGAGGCGCAAAAATGCACGACTATTTTTTTAATTTAACATAAATCAAAATATATATATATATATGTTTAATTATTTTTAAAATATTAATTAAAATTATATATTTAAATTAATTAATTAGTTATATATTAATAATTTTTTATTTTTGTTTTTGATTGCACCGGTAGTTTACGTCCAGGACGTCAACGATCATCCGCCTGAGTTCCAGAACGTTCCCTATTCATTAGAAGTCGATGAGGTATGTCATGGCACCCCCCCCCCCAATACCCCCTATTTAACTAAACACCTATTAACATACCTGTCCCACTCATACACACACATACACACCCAATAAATTATTATTAGTATTTAATAGTATTGTTAATTTTTTTATTATTATTATTAAGCAATATCTACTGTAAACCAACCAAAAAAAAATTCAATTAATTATTTATTAATTCAATTAAACTGATTTTTATTTTATTTTTTAAATTTTATTTTATTATTATTTTTTTGTTTGATTTACTTTTGATACACACACTCACTCACTGACTGACTGACTGATTGACTGACTTTCTTGACTGATGACACCGTTATTATCAAAAAAAAAATAATGATAACAACAACAACAACATTATTATAGTTAACACCAGTTGGACTGACCGTATTTCGTGGTATACATGCACTGGACCGGGACAAACCCAATACTGCCAACTCAGATATTACCTATTCAATAGTGGTAAGCATATATATACTGTAGTATAAAATAATAATAATATATATACATTGATCGCATACAATAAATAACTAACTGAGCATTTTGTTGTCTAAGCTCTACTATACTACTAATACAGTACTTGTTGTGCTAAATATCTTACTGTTTATAAGGCCGTAACATTAACTTTTAGTTTGGATTTTTTGATTGAAACATATTATTTGTATATATAACTTATATATATATATATATATATATACACACACACACATATATATATATACAATTTTATACAATATATTTGTCGCACAAATAGGGTGGCAATGAAAACAACTCATTCATCCTTTCCGACCCAATTGAAGGCATACTTGTTATTAATAAGCCATTAGATTATGACAATGGGATACGAGAATTCAAGATCCAGATCCAGGCAATGGTATGTATGATATATAYATATATATAYATATATATATATATATATTGTATATCAAAAAATATATATATATAAAAAGCAATAAAATAATTATTTTCATGATATATAATTATATACAGTATAACTATATATATATCATATAAATGTATAAAAAAATAAAACAATTAATGGCACATTATTACTGAAAGAGAGAGAGAGAGAGAGAGAGAGAGAGAGAGAGAGAGAGAGAGAGAGAGAGAGAGAGAGAGAGAGAGAGAGAGAGAGAGAGGCTATATAAACGTTACATTTAATGACATGTAATTTAAAAAATAGGAGAAACATTTAATTTATAATATATATATACTGTATATGATATATATAATAAATTTTATAATGATAATAAATATTTTTTTTAAATGCTACTACCATTACCCAGGATCACGGCAGTCCCATTAGCCTATCACAGGTGACCACAATGTCCATACATGTCAAGGATGCCGACGACCAGAATCCCCTGTTTACACAAGAGGTCTATAAGGCCAGTGTCTCGGAAACGGCTAAAATAACGGTATGAGCCATCACTTACCTCTCATATAGCATACAAATTGAATACAATATTAGATATGATTTTTTTATATGGTTAATGATACGATTTAACTGTTTTTTAAATTTAATGCTTACCTATTAAATTGTATATACAATATGTATTACTAAGTATATAGTGTATAAAATCATTCAATAGAGAGAAAATAATTTTTTTAAATAATTTTTTTTYGATTCACAACAAAAAACTTTATATTACACAAAATGTATTATTTAATGATAAAGCCGTGAAATCATATATGCTATGAAAAAAATCGTATGAAATTTGTTTTATTTGCATAAATACTAAAATATCACGACTCAAAACAATAGGGGCCTATCTTTTTGTGTGTATATATATATATATATATACAGTACAATATATTTTTTATATATATATGTTTGATTTTTGTGTGTGTGTGTATATATATATGTTTGTATTTTTTACAGTATATAATAAACATATAATATTTTTATTATTATTATTATTATTTTAGTTTTTTTTAATAATAATATTATTATTTTATTGTTTATCGTTTGTTTGCAACAACAACAACAAAAAATATGAGATCAGATGATAATAAACTAGTCTTCAATATATATATATATATACAGTATATATAAAAGTTAAACATATAGTCTTCAATAAATACATTCAACTTATTGTAAATAATTATATAAATTTATATACTATATACAGTATTATACTTATAAAACTTTTTTTTTATATAAAACTATTCAAACATTTAATATTTTATTTATTTTAATATATTATTATTATTATATATAATGAAAACTATAAACAGTGAAACAGACATACTTTCAGTGTATTGTCTAAAAAACAAAAAAAAAATTGGCAAATAATTTAAAACGATTAATATTTGAAATATTTTATTTTGACATTTTTGTTGTTGTTTTTGACTATTTATGTAAATATTTTTTTCAAAATAAAAACTTTTACGTAACATACCTTATACTTCAAAATAAAATTGGCTCACATGTTGATAGATATGTAATGTCATATACAGTATATATATATATATATATATAAAAATAATAATAATAATTTTGTATATATAAAATAGCTTTTAATAAGTAATGACAATATAATAAGCAACTGTTTCCTTACTATTAATATATATGATATATATTTTTTAACGTAATAACATATACCGGTACAGAAAAGTAATAATAATAATTATTATATACATATAAATTTTTATATATAYAAATTTATTATAATATTAATAATTATAATATAATTATGTAGTCAACAGCATATTGATGCCACTCATAGTAATGCCATAGTTATGTAACTATACGTCAATTATATATTTTTATTAAAGTTTGATTTTTTTTTAGTTTTTATTTGTTTGATAACTAACTAAATTAATAATAATAATAATAAAAGCACATGTTTAACATGTATTTTATATATGCTTATATACACTGTATATGTGTGTCTAATATAATAATTTAAATATAACCCATTAATTATGTGGATTTTCTAATTAAGTATTAAAAATTAATCAGAGGTAACAAAAAATATATTTATAATAAACAAAATTTTAATGAGATTTTTAAAAAAATTATTAATTAAAACTAAGTGCACAAAAAAATTTATAACACTATAAATTAGTTTAATCATATATATATATACAGTATATTTACAACAAAAAATAGGCAATCTATATACCCACACATTGAACATAAAAAATCAAGTTTATTATTATTATTAAAAAACTTTTAGCTCTCACACATTGCGAAAATAATAATAATAATAATATTTAAAATACGGTATATATATATAATATAATTTTATTTTAATAATAATAAATTACAGTACAGTATATATATATATATTCAATATGTGTATCGCACATTAGATAAAAGATAAATGGTTATTATATTTATTTATTTATTTATTTTTCAAAAAATAAAAAACAAACACAAATACAAAAACATAAAGTGAATCTCATTTTTATAATATATTATGAAAGCAAACCATTGTTTTTATGGGACAGTTGTGTGTTTGTGTGTGAGAGAGAAATCCATTGTTTCCCTTAAATAACAAAAAAACTTATATTAATATTAAAATTTCTCCCAAATTATACCATATATACTATATGTCTGTATATATAAATAAATAAAGTAATGATGAATTAGTAATACTAAACAAAAAATAAATAAATTTTTTCTTCAAATAATAATAATCATCAAAATTTATGCACACATTTACTCATACCTTATATATATATATAAAAATAGTTTTTTTAGGGAGATTTTCACCCTTAAAATAATAATAACAATAATAATAATAAACTTATATATAAAATATATAATGGATTGTTGTGTTCACAGGACGACCCCATTTAGGCTGTGAACTATACACACAAAACTCAATCATATTATATGAAAAWATATATATATGTATTAGTAATACCCGTAATGTAATACTTATTTATTTTTTTTATTATTATTATTTTTTGTTGGAGAGTAATATCACATTTATATATTATAGTTAGTGAACACCAACAACAACAATAAAAAAATTTAATTAAATAATGGATTAAAAAACTTTTAAAATTTTTTTTATTTATTTGCCACTTATTTTCAGCCAAAATAATTTTTATAAATATAACTTTATTATATAAATATCATACAAACAAACAAACAAACAAAATATATTTAATCCAAACTTAGTCAAACTTTTTTTTTTGATATATTAAAATAGAAATTTCCAACAATTTAATAATTATATTATATGACAATGAAAAAAAATCAAATTGAATACAACATATAAATACATAAAAATAGTTTATCAACAAAAAAATATATCAGACCTTAAACTCTAGACTCTAGACTAGAAAACAATATTTTTTTTGTTATTATAAATTTTATAACAATTTAGTTAAATTTTTGTTGTTGTTGTTGAATAAAGGGGGGATAAACTTGAATATTTTGAGATTTTTATTATTTATATTTATCATTATATAATAATAATAATAATGGGTAACATTAATTTTATTATTATTATTGCTATTTTTATTGTTTGTGCAATAATAATAATAATAATATTTATATWTATATATACAGTGTATATATATATAAAATAATTTTTAAATTTTATTTTTTTCCTAATTATTTATATATATCTATGACATGATTATTATTTAACACAAAAAATATATATAATATAATAATTAACTAATAAGATTAACTAATATTAATAATGATATGTTTTTTTTTTATAAATATTTTTGAAATAATTAGGGACACCGTATACGTGAAAAAGTTGTCGTACAGCCAGCCATACATGCGTTTGATTTGGACACCGGTATCAATGCCAGACTCAGATATACCATCATCTTAGGTAACGTTGCTATCAATCAATTTTTTTTACAAAAAAAAATAGTTAAACTAAAATCTATATATACAACAAAAAAAACACAAACAAAACTTGATTTTTATTTTTGTCTCTCTCAATAGAGAGATTGTATGTATGTATAAAAATAAATATACATTTATAATAATAATTAAATACCTCTATCTTTTAGCAGATGATTAAATATTATGTTTCAATGAGTTAATTAAAAAAAATAATTTTTTTTTGTATTAGAGAGAAGGGGGGTCTATCGTCTATCCCTATTATTTTTTTTAATATCAGTCCCATTATAGTAAATGTCAGATAGGGGGGGGGGACTGGGATACGATACATACATATGTAGTATAATATGAACCATAAAAAAGTCGGTCACTTTCCAATAAAATCAAAAAAAAAATCTTATTATTTATATTTATATATATTTTTTTAAATAGCGAAAAATATTATTATAATTAATGTTTTTCTAACTGAAAGGCATATGTATTTTGTATTTTTATTTATTAATTGCAATCTGATTTCAAGTCATGATATCCAAAATAAATTGATAAATTTATATATATATATATATATATATATATATGCTGTATATTGTATATATAAAAAATATCAAAAGAGATTAATAATAATAAATAATAATAAAAATAATAATCATTTTGTATGCCTTTATTCAGAGTGAGAAAAAAAATCTTCACTTTTGAATTTTTCTTATATATATATATATATATATATATATATATATATATATATATAATCTATATCTATAAAAATTTAATAACAAATTTATATATATATTATATTACTATTACTATTACTATTACAATATAAACTATATTACAGTATTATTTAACAGGAATTTTCTTGATATTTTGTGATGAGAAAAGAGGTCACAAAAAACATAATAATAAAGTTTTAAATATTATATAGTTTTTGTGACTTTTTTTTGTTGCTTTAACTTAAATCAAAACATACTAACAGAGAGAGAGAGAGAGAGAGAGAGAGAGAGAGAGAGAGAGAGAGAGAGAGAGAGAGAGAGAGAGAGAGAGAGAGAGATAAGTAAATAGTTTATCTATAAATCATCTTTAAATTTATAGATTGTTTGATACAATCAATTAATAATTATTATGTTGTGTTGAGTAGAGAGGATAGGATAGGATAGGATAGGAGATAGTATAGTAACACACATACAGTACAAACAAACAAATTCAAATAAAATAATAAATTTTTTTATTTTATTTAAAAAAAGGAGTGTTTAGTTATTAATACTAACTTTTATTTTTTTTGTTTGTTAAAATATATGTATCACATATTGTGTGTATCACATCATTCAAAAATAATTATGTAATTTTATTTTACTTGTTATTTGATATAATAATAGGCTATAATTATAGCTCATATATACAGTATATACAGGTATATAATATATTTGAAAATTAATTTATTATTATTGTATTTAATAGATTTTAAAGAGGAAATGCAATTAATTGAACTCAATGTGTGTGTGTGATATACTTTTTAATCCTTATCTATGTGTGTGTGTCTATCAATTGACTTAATTTTTTGTTGTTGTAATAATATTTCACTACAATATAAATTGAGGCATTAATTTGATGTTTAATTTATACAGTATTTTATATTTTTTGAATCCCATATGCGGTTTGAAAACATATTTAAACGAAAGTTCGTGTAATGAATATTTGTGTTGTGTTTGTTTGAAAGTTTATATTATTATTATTTTTTTTACTTTTATTATACCATTATTTCACTATTATTATAATAATATTATTATGATATTATTGTATAATTTTTTAGCTCTCTCTCTCTCTCTCTCTCTCTCTCTCTCTCTCTCTCTCTATCCTTAAATTGAATATAAAAATTTAATTTTCAAATTAGTGAAAAATAATGCCCATTTTTATGTGTGCGTTTTTTAAGGAGGAATAATAATAATAAAATTAGATATTATTTAATATTATTATTAAAGTAAACTTAATAATAATAAATAATAATAATAACCCATTGAAAGATGCATTATTTTACGATTAAAATTAAAAAATAAAATAATAATGAAAAGTAATTTTAATTCAAAAGTAAAATACTGTATATATATATATATATATATATATATAAGTAAACTATAAAAATGAATAAATAAATTAAATATATTCAGGAAATAAAAGCCCTCTTTTTTCATCAATCGTTGTTGACTTTTGAGAGTTAGAGAGAGAGAGAGAGAGAGAGAGAGAGAGAGAGAGAGAGAGAGAGAGAGAGAGAGAGAGAGAGAGAGAGAGAGAGAGAGAGAGAGAGAGAGAGAGAGTAATGCCTTCAAAAAAAATTTTGTTAATTTTTTTATGGTGTGCGCGAAAAATGACTTACATTTATAAACTAAAGTGTAATGTATTTTATAAAATACATAATATATATACAGTATATAATAATTTATTAGTTGTTTTTACAATATATATATACAGTATATATATATATTTGACATAAATGTTGTTTTTATATATAAATTATTTTTTAAAAGACAACAACACTTTAGTAGTAGTAGTGAAGACACATACAGTACTAATAAATTGTTTTTTAATAATTATTGCAAATTAGAGCCACAAAAAAATATATATATAAATAATTTATACATATTTTTTTCAAATAGCGTGTAATCTTTTTTCCCCTATTTTTGTTGATAACTAATATTTTTGCAATAAATAAATTATATATATATTTAAGTTAAGTCTCAAAACTTGTTGAACACATTTATACATATATATCAATCAAAGCGTAAAAATAATTATAACTTTGAATGTCTTATCAGATATCAGTTTGCTTTGCAATTATATTCAGTATTGTTGTGTATATTATATATATATATATTAAATATTTTATGTAAAAATAACTTATATTTTTTGTTGAGTCAATGAAGTAACAAAAATATGACAATATTTTATTATTATTATTATTAGTTGAATGTAATAAAAATTTATTTCTAAATTTATTTAACCATTTTGTCTCTTTTAAAATGACAGTTCACATAAAGTTTTCAACAAAAAAAATAAATATTTTTTTATTTCATTTATTTATTACTATATTATTTTCAAATTTTGTTTTCTTTTTATTATTACAGTATTATTAATACAGTATATTATGTTATATATTTTATATTAAATATATATTAAATACTATATATAATTTATATATTAATATAAATTTAATATAAATGAYTTTCTATATTAAATCTAAAACTCAATGAGACTTATATGGATTTTTAAGAAAATTATTTTTGGCAATAAATTATTATTTAGCAAATAATAAAAAACATTATTAGTATTTATAATAATATAGTAATAATAGTAATAACAAAAAAAAATAATAATAAAATACTTAGATTTTTGCTTACGATTATTAATCGTGAATTTCATTTTTAAAATAAAAATATTATTATTATAATAATAATAATACTATAATTACTAAATGAATTTAATTTGAGTTTTATTTTTAAAATAAAATTACTGTATATTTTTCAACAACAAAAAATAAAAAGTAAAACATATTATATGTGTATTAATATATATAAATAAATAAATATATATTGAAAGCGTTGAGAAAGATATGATTGCTTTTTAATGTAATAACAAAAATCTTGTTTTAACTTTTTTTTAGTTTTAATATCACTTTCCCTATAAAATTATAAATACCTTAAAACTTATAGCTAAAGGGTATATTAGTTTTTTTTATATGGATATATATGTTTGTATGTATGTATGTWTCTATGTATATGTTTGAATGTGTGTGTGTGTGTGTGTGTGTGTGTGTGTGTGTGTGTGTGTGTGTGTGTGTGTGTGTGTGTGTGTGTGTGAATAAAATAAATCATTAAATACGATATTTACGTTTTAAATACATTATAAATGTATATATAAATATATTTTTTAAAGATACACACATTATAACTATTGAGTTATAGTTTCTAATCAAATGATTTATATAWTAAAATACTTATAACAAAAATTTTATAATTTAAAACCAGAAAAGAGATACATATCTACAGTATATTATTATTATTATTATTTCGCATAATATAATCACATATTTATTTATATAGCGGTACTAATAGTTTTTTTWAAWAATTACTGTATTATTGATTCAATTGATTTGATATTTAAACAGCAAGTATTTATACAGTATATGTAATAATAACATAAATAGTTTATGTGAAAATGATTTAAATATTTTTATGGAGTTATTTTATATATATATATATTAATATATAATAATAGTATAATTACATTATTAGCTTTAAATGGTAAAAACAAACTCTCATTTAAATTGATTTTCAAAAATTATACAAAACTATATACAAAATATATATATATATATATAATATATTGTATATACAATATTATGACTGAATTTTTTTTGTTGGCTGAATAGTAGTAGTAGTAGTAATAGTAGTTAAAAAAAAGTGACCGACTTTTTAATCTCAAACACACAAAATATTTAATATAAAATAAAAACAAAAAAAAATGAAGAAATTGAATGGAAAAATAATATTTTTAAAAAACAAATAATTTTATAAWATATATATAAAATTAAAAATCATAWACAATATATAGATTGCAAGTATAACTGTATATATATATATATATAAAAATCTATTTGCAAACAAAAAACACATATAAATGTGATTGAATTTTAAATRCCTTATATATATATATATATACTGTATATATATAACTTTTTCAATTGTATTGTAAATACATATATTTATATATCATTGCTATATTATAAAGTATRTATAAATTTTTAAATGTATATATATATTATATAATTTTGTATATTTTGATTTTTTTGACCCCCATTTTTTGTATATTATTATAGGCAATGAGGGGGGCTTTTTTGAAATGCACGACCAAACGGGTGAACTATTTCTTGTACGAGAAATCGATTTGGAAAGTCTGCCAAACGCTGTACTCAGTCTTCAAATTCAGGTAATAATAGTTTAGTAATAATAATAATAATAATAATAATCAGTCATTGATTTTTTAAAAAATACTAAAAAACATTACACACTTAGACACACATACATACACATACACACATATATACACACACATACAAACATATACACACACACATATATACACACACATACAAACATATACACATATATACACATATATACACATATATACACACACATACACACATACATATACACACACATATATACACACACACATGCACACACACACATACACACACACATACACACACACATACACCCTTACACACATACTTACATACATTCATACCTATATATTAAAAATTACTTTTATGAAACATATTGGATATTTGATTGTATGCTTTAGTGATTGACTTATATTTCACATAATTGTTATAAATTTCTCTCTCTCTCTCTYTCTCTCTTTAATTTTTATCAAATATATATCTCTCTCTCTGTCCTATTATTATTTGCCGATTAAAACAAATATATATAAAAAAATATTTTATTTTTTTGTGGAAAAACTTTTTAAAAACAAAAATCAAACACAAATAATAATAATTGTAATAATTGAAAAATAATATTTTTTTTTGGGGGAATAAAAATTGGGAACTGATTTTAATCGGTTTTATTTAACCGGATTTTTTTGCTGTTTTTGTTGTTGTTGTTGAATATATACAATATTTAGATTAGAAAATAGTTTATATAYWTATATATATAACTTTTTAAAATATAATAATAATAATAATATTTTCAAAAGTTTAAAAACTATTTTCTAACAATATAATTTTTACCCTTCAAAATTATTATTATTATTATTTTGTTGTTGTTGTTGTTGTTTGTGGTATACATAGAGATGCATGTGAAATATATTGTTGAAAAAAATAWAATTTTTTACAAAAGATTATACTTAAAAAGTTATTATCTCACACATGGCTTATATATATATACGGTATATATAATACATAAATAGTTTTGGTAGTATTTTTGGGGTAAAAAAATTTTCACAATGTTTTTCATCAAACATTTTTTTTCATTAACCAGTAGTCGCGTCCCATCATCTCATTTGATAAAAGTTTTTTTTTTAATATATATATATTTTTAATTTGGGAACCAATGTTAAAGCTATTGTGTTTGTGTGTTAAAAACATTTTTATTTTATTTTTTTTTATGAAAACCATTAATAGACAGTTCAATTAGAGACCCTTTTATATATATATACAATATATAAATTGATATTATATACAGTACAATGTATAGCGTAATTGAAAATATAAAATTTTGTTTCATTATATAAATACCGTATATAAGTATTTTTTTAATAATTTACACAAATACTAAATTTATAAATTTATTTTATTATAAACTATTTATATATATATATACAGTACATGTGTAATATAAATAATTAAGGCGTTAAGTATTGATTAAATGAAGTACCAGAAATATTTTATTATTATTATTATTATTATTAAATATTACTGTATATATATACAGTATAATAATAATACTTTAAGAAAATATAATAATAATAATAATAAAATTTAATAATAATAACAATAATAAAAGTATTGCAAAAAATTTTAGTTGTATGTCTGGTTATTAATATTTCAAAAATTTATATATATATATATAAAATTAATATAAGTCAGGGACACAATAGCAGCAAAATTCAAAAATGTGATACAGTATTAAATAAAAAAAAATAGCACTGGTAGATTAAGGGAATGGTATGTATAAGTTATAACTGGTATAACTTTTAAAGTATAAGTGTRTGTGTTTTTTTATATATATTAAATGAGACAAACTTTTAAATAATTAATTATATATTAGCGCCAGAATTATATGTTATATTACTTATATACTGTATATATRTATATACAGTATTATCTCATTTTTTTCAACAACAAAAAAATTACTATCAATTTAGTTGTTTTTGGTTTTGACTTTGACTTTAGTATTATATTATAGTTTAGTTATTACTTTGACTATCATATTATTAACTACAGTATAACTCCCAGTTCAACGTATTGTTTAGCCACCGATCGGGCGCTCAGGCATAGGGTTACACCTAAATACTTCCCAATTATATTGTCGACAGTTTTATTTTATCACATTTTTTTCAACAAAAAAAAGTATAGAGTTATACAGTTATATAAGAGAAAAAATCATAAAATTTTTTTTTATCTTTGATAGACTTATTATACAAAAGTGATTGAATAATTTGGAGCAAATATATTGTATTTAAAAAATCTCCCAGTGCTGCTGCTTAAACTATACAAGTGTGGAGCACCGGTAGCCTATATTCAAATTTTTTAAATAAATAAATAATAAATACAATTCAATTGATATAATACTTTACACACACATATACACACATATCTTGTAATTATATTTCCCTTAAAATATTATATACACAATAATAATAATAATAATAAAATACATTTCATAAAACTTTTTTGAAAATTCAATTCAATTTGATTTGACTTAACAGCAAAAAAAATCAAATCCTCTTTTCAATCACTCAATAAACAGATTAACTGTTTATTTTTCCACACATTTTATATTATATATATATGTATATATATATATATATATATATATATATATCGTAATATTAAGTCCGGTTTAATCAACACAACAATCATTTATATATCAGATATACAAAACACAGTTTTTACATATGAATTGCGAAAATATAATTTATATATATATATTTAAGCTTATATTTATTATATTATAATACATTAATTAAAGTGTATATTCAATACAATAATAAAATGATATAAAATTTAAAAAAAATAAAATAAAAATAAATTATATCACATTGAGAAATATAACATTGAAATAAACTATCAAAATAAAGTAATTAAATTTATCATTATTATTATTATTATATCATTACATATATATWTTTTTTAAAAATATTACAACAATAGGCAGCACAGGTAGACAATCCATTGAGACAGGCATTGGCCAGAGTTGACGTTTCGGTGATGGATGTGGTAAGTGTTGAATACAATTACATACCCTATCAATCAATCTATTAAAATCTAATTTTTGTTTTTGCTAAGTGTTACTCAATATATATATTATTAACAAAAATTTGTATCACTTATAACTTATATATATATATATAGTATATAATTGATGTCAAATATAATACCAATTATTTTTAAACAAACATAACAAACAAACAAAATCACAATTAATACCATTCCTCCACTTCTTCTTCTTCCTCTTCTTCCTCCTCCTTCTCCCTGAAGAATGACAACTCACCAGAGTTTGAGTACGACATGTATAACATCACAGTCATGGAGAACCTGCCGCCAGGTTTTACAGTACTCCAGGTGTTTGCCGTCGATGCCGACAAAGGAGACAACGCTCACTTCAAATACCTGTTGGACGACCCGTCGGGTGCATTCAAAATAGACGAAAATACCGGCTGGATTAGTGTCAAAGATCCGACTCGACTGGACAGGGAAAGCAACGACAGGATTCAGATGAAAGTGACGGCCATCGAGCGTAAGCCTAATATCAATCCGGAAGCGGCAAAAGCCAAATACACTACCGTCGAGCTAAACCTGTTGGACGCTAACGATAATAATCCACAATTTTTTCCGCAAAATCTCTATACGTTTGCTGTACTGGAAACGGCACCCGCGGCTACCATAGTGGGCAGTGTCTACGCCAACGATAAAGATTTGAACGAAAACGGACGGGTAGTCTACTATAAACAAAACGATACGATTAGTCAGAGTGTGCCATTCGACGTGTTTCCGCATAACGGATCCATTTATGTTACCGATACTTTCCCGCATTTGGTGGCCAAACCCACACAGTATACGTTTTTTGTTGTCGCTTCCGATTCGGCCAAATCCCGATTCGAGAGGCGTACCGGTGTGGCCATCATTCGTGTGAACGTAACCGACATCAACAACTCGGTACCCGAGTTTGTCGGCGCACCGTTCGAGGCCTATGTCGGCGAATCGCTACCCGAAGGCGCCTACGTTACACAGATTATGGCCAGAGATAACGACGCCATCGATACCAATCTCGAGTATTCAATAGTTGCCGGAAACGATGAAAAGTTGTTTCTGATTGACTCGAGAGCCGGTCGAGTGTTTACCGCCGCTGTACTGGATTTTGAACGAAAACAAAGCTACGATTTGCTCGTTCAGGTGTCCGACGGTATCAATACAGCTGTGGCACCACTTCTGGTCAATTTGGTCGATATCAATGACAATGCACCGCATTTTACACATAATTTCTACAATTTTTCGGTAAGTTTTTTCAGTATTTTTTTTTAAATAAAGTCTTTTGAAATCCTATACAACATCTTTCCGCTGTTTGCATCAGTGCGTCGAAGAGATGGCCGAAAACATGACAATAGGTTCAGTGTTGGCATTAGATCGCGATTCGGGTAAAAATGCTGTCCTCCGCTACAGTATTATCGGCGATCAGGCCAGCGATGCTTTTATTGTCGAACCGTTAACCGGTAATATCCGAACCCGTTTACGGCTGGACAGAGAATCCGAGTCGAAGATCGAGTTTATGATCATTGCCTACGACAGCGGTATACCGCAGTTGAGCGGTACGACATCGGTTGTGGTGGCCATCGAAGATATCAACGATAACGCACCGTATTTTGAACAAAATCAATATGTAGTGGAAGTATCCGAAGAACTGGAACCGCCGGTCGACATATTTCAGGTAAAAGCCAACGACAGAGACGCCAACGACAACGCTGTCATCAAATATCTGATACTAGCCGGTAATGATGACAACGTTTTCAACATTAATCCCGAAACCGGTTTACTATCGACCGCCGAAAAACTAAACTACGAACGAAAAACCGAATACAAACTCTACGTTGCGGCCAGAAATCTGCGGCCATTTCAGGGACCGAATGCCGCCAACATAATCAATCCCTCCGTCGARGTGATTGTTCGGGTACGCGATATCAACGACGAACTGGTCATCTTTGACCAACAATCCTATCATTTTCGGGTATTCGAAAGTCTACCGAAAAATCAGGCCATCGGTTTCGTTAACGCCACAAATCCCGGCCGATTACCCAACGAACAGGACATCATCTATTGGATTGGCGAAGAAAATCGCAAACAAAAAGGAAAGTTTGCCATCAATCAGAAGACTGGAGAACTGATACTCAAAGAACCAATAGATAGGGATATGCCTAACAATGAACAGGCATTCAAATTGAAGATCTACGCCAGRGATCGACTGTCGATCAATTCGTTTAATACATCGGTTCCGGTGATAGTCGACGTACTCGATGTGGTCAGTCATCCGTTAATTTTTTTTTAATGATTATTATTATTATTTAATATTTATTTTTGTTGTTTCATTAGTTTAGTTTAGTTGCTGTCAAATTGATTTTTGTTATTTAATTTTATTCAATGATATACTGTATAACTTAATAGTTACATCAAATATAACACACATATAAAACTTAATTTACAATATAATAATAAACAGTAAACTATAGATTTTTTTTTTAGTTTTGTATTAATGATTATTGTTTCTCTATCTACAGCTAAACTAAATGATTTTTAATGATAGTCTCAACAAACTAAATAAATAAATAATTTTTTTTAACATTAAAGTCAATGAGCGCTAACTAATGACTAAATTTAAAAACAATTTTTAAACAGTTTGCCTAATTGTTGGCTTTTATTAATATATATAAAAAAACAATGTTATGTTTTATTGTATTTTCAATAGGACTTCCACATTATATAACTAAATACTACATATTAWTAAACTAAATATATAACTAAAMTAAATAATTAATTATTTATTTATTGATTCACTTCCACACAAACATACAAATTATTTTCTTATTTTAATTAAGATATACTGTATATATATATATATAAGTTATTTATTTATTTGTTTTAATTAATTAATTATTTATTTATTTTCATACATTTTTATTTTCCACATACAGAACGATAATTCGCCCGTTTTTAATGAGGACAGGTATGTGTGTGTGTTTAGTATTTAGTATTGTATTGTTTTTTTTGGTGCCGGTATTTAGTATTATAGGCCTATCTATCCATTAATGAATTATTAATTGACCCCAAAATTTTTAACCAAACAAAGTAATCCTAAATTGTTTTTTCCAAAACAATTTGTTTCATACAATTGTTTTGTTTTTTTTTTTGAAAACTTTTTTTATCGATTAATTAATTGATGTCTTATTTGATGTTTTATACATTTAAAAAAAAATTAATATATTTAATGAAGATATGTATTGGAATTACCGGAAAGCCTACCGTCGGGAACAACATTTCCGGCCTTCTATCGGGTCAGCGATCTGGACGCCGGCCTAAACGGCAAAATTGTTGGCTACTATTTGAATACTACGGTCGAAGAGCACCAGTTGTTTGCCATCAACAACCAGACCGGTGTGATTACACTGTTGGCAGCGCTGGACTCGGAAACCCGCGACAAACACGAGTTCGGTATCATAGCCGTAGACGGTGGCCAACCGCCCAATATTGGTACGGCTACCGTAGTGGTCAATGTGGCCAACATCAATGAATATTCGCCGAAATTTGTTGGACTACCGTACGAGTTTCTTGTCCAGGAAAAAGCATTCGAAGGTACCAGTGTTGGCCAGGTTCGGGCCATCGACGAGGACGGCAATGCCATCAAATACAGTGTATCGGATGGCGATACCGATTTTTTCTACATCGAAGAGGACAGCGGCCGACTGTTCGTAAAGAAACCGTTGATTTCCCGAACACAGTATACGTTTATTGTCAGGGCTACCGATGATGGCGTTCCCCAGAACTTTAGTTTAGGTGTTCAGGTGATTGTCAAAGTCAGGGAAAGTAATGATTATCCGCCAGTATTTACGTCGAGTAACTATCACGGAGTGGTCGTCGAAAAACGTGAATCCGATAAAGTAGTGGTCAAAGTGGAAGCCATTGATAAGGATTTGCAAAATAATTCGGTGTCCTATTCGATGGTCGGCGGCAACGAAGACGGCGTATTCGTTATCAATGGCCACAACGGCGAGATCAAGATTGTCCCGGGAATGGGACCTAAGCTTAACTATGATAATAAAAAACAGTATTCATTGCTAGTTCAGGCAACCGATTCGCATATTACACAACTGTACGGACTGGCAATGGTGGTCATCGATGTCCAGGACACCAGTAAGTCTAGCTATTCCTTCTCCTATTCCTCATATATATTAGAAATCCTCTAAAAATTAATAATCAATTCATTTCAGACGATCACTCACCGGTGTTCAGCAAATCAGTCTATTCGGCAACACTGCCCGAAAACCTGCCGGCCGGACATTGTTTTTTGACTGTCGAGGCCAACTCACGCGATACAGTTGACAGTGTTAGCTATTTGCTATCAAATACCAAAGACAATGTGTTTGCCGTCAATAAGGCTACCGGAGAGATATGTACGAAAAAAGTGTTGGACAGGGAGGTCAAAGACAAGTACGAGTTTTCAGTGGTGGCCACCGATGGCAAGTTTGAAGTTTTGGCACCGGTTTCAGTCGGTAATTCACCCTTAATTTTTGTTTGTTTTTGAGACGGCCATTAATTTATTACTTATCAATTAATCTGTTTGTTGTTGTTTTTGTCGGACATAGAAATAATCGACGAAAACGACAATCCGCCCCGTTTTGAACAGGACAGGTACCTGATATCCATACCGTACGATCTGCATCCGGGTCGTACAGTCATCCAGGTTCAGGCAACCGATCCCGATAGTGCCAACAACGGCGACATTACCTACTGGATCAAGAATACGCACGGTATGTTCGAAATAGACGCCAAAACCGGTTTGGTCCGACTGGTGGCCAACTTGCCGATGGACAAACCGAACGCTACCTACGAGATGGAAGTGTTTGCCCAGGACCACGGCGTAACACCGAATATCGGCAAATCGATTCTAGTCGTTCGGGCCTCCAATACCATCAATCATCCGCCAAAATTTGACCGATTCTCCTATTCGGTAAATGTCGACGAAAATGTTACCGGCATACCATTGATCCAAGTGCTGGCCTTGGATCCCGATCCGGGTAAAGCTGGCAAAGTTATCTACCGTATTGTCAAGTCGTCACATCCGAATGCATTCCGTATCGACAAAACCAATGGCCGAATAACACTGGAATCGGCACTGGACTACGAGTCCAGTAAATACCATGAAATTGTTGTCGAAGCCCGCGACGAGACCAAAGAGTCCCAGTCGACCACTACTGTCGTACAGATACACGTCAACGATATCAACGACAACTCACCGGAGATACTGTCGATGCCGCGCATACTTCGTGTACCGCAATCGGTATCGCCGAATAGCGAAGTAATCTATACGGTCCAGTCGACCGATTTGGACAGCGACCGTAACGGCAACAATCAAGTGGTCTACGCTATCGAACCGCAAAGTCATTTCTTTGCCATCAATGCCTTGACCGGCCAGATGTTTGCCACCCAGAAACTGATACCAATGACCGAAACGCTGCGTGTGATTGCCGCCGATAAGGCCAGCGCTGGCCAACTGTTTACGTCGAAAGACTTGCGTATCGAAGTCTACAAAGATTCCATTGAAGAGCCGACACCAGTGTTCACTAGTGTCCAGTACTTTGTCCAAAGCGATACTGTACTCGAACCGGGAGCTACTTTGCTGACACCGAGAGCTACCATTCCTAATGGATCGCCTGTTTGGTACAATATATCATCGGTAAATAGTGGCCAATTGAATGCCAAAAAATTTAACATCGATCACGATTCGGGCCGTATATTCACATCCAACCGACTCGATCCGTCCGATTTGAAACAAAATATCTACCATTTCATAGTATCGGCTCATAATAAACGCGAACCATTGCACTACTCCGAGTCCGGTGTTGTCATCCGACTACTCGACCACAATATCCGATGTCCGAAGTTTCCGTTTACCGAATACTATGCGTCGATTAAGGAAAATTCGGCGCCCGATATGATAGTACTGCCCGATCTTCTCATCGAAGATGTCGACAAGTTTTCTGGCCAACGATTGTCCTATCAGATTACCGAAGACAACTCCAACGACAACTTCTATATTGATGTCCGTCAAGGAGGCGATACACCCATGAATGTGACGCTGAGGATCAAGAAGATCTTGGATAGGGATTCGATGCCGAAGTTCCTACAGGGCGTCCATACGTTGGCCATTACGGCCAGCAATCAACGATGTTCGGCAAATAGTCGCGTAAAGATTATGGTCGAAGATGTCAACGACAATAATCCGGTTTTTAGTCAGTCGGACTTTGTTGTTGAACTGAAAGAAAATACACCGATAGGTCAAGTGGTGACCACTTTGACGGCTACCGATAAGGATGAAGTGGACGACGGAAAGTTGAGATATCATGTCATCGAAGGCAATGAAGACGAGATGTTTGATTTGGAAGAGAAAACCGGTGTAATGTCCGTAAAGATCATACCCGATAGGGAACGATCGCCGGCTTATGTACTACGGGTAGTGGCCATCGATTCGGCCAACAATACCGGTTGGGCTAACGTTCATATTATTATATTAGACGAAAACGATTGGACACCAACTTTCCTAAACGAAACGTTTGTACTCAATGTTACCGAAGGACCGACCAGTATTGGTAAGTCATTTGATTGATTGATTTCACTAATAAATAACAAAAAATATATTTAAGACAAAAAATTACCGAAAAAAAACTTAGTTTTTTTGGCATAAATATAATACACCAAAAAAATAAATAAATATTTTTTTCTATAATTTAATGTTAATTTATTTACACATAAAATCATGTATTATAAGGAAAAACAGTTTTTTTAAACATTTTGCAGTAATTTATTATTATTTTTTTGTTTTAATTTTTCCCTATTATCTCAGGCACTCGTATGCGATTACCGGTTGTCGACTACGATGACGGTATCAATAGACAGATGGAGGTATATATTGTTGATGGCAATGCCAATGGAGAGTTTAGGCTGGATGTCGATGAAGGCGGACCCATATTGACCATTGTTTCCGAATTGGATCGGGAAAAATATAATGTCAAAGAGTCGGCATTACACGTACTGTTTGTGGCCGCCAAAGACAAAGGCCAACCGCAGCGTATGGGCAAAGCTATGGTCGCTGTGGTCATACAGGATATCAACGACTCGCCGCCTAAGTTTGAACGCGACTCGTACTATCAGTTTATATCAGAGGACGCACCGGTAGGCATAGTTGTTGCCGAACTGAAGGCTACCGATGCCGATTCGCCGGCCAACACAAATCTTGTCTATTCGTTTGCCAAAAATACGGGAAACGGTATGTGTTTTTGTTTTTTTTATTAGACCCTTAAGTTTATAGACACAAGTTTTCCTAACCATTTATTGACCCCCTCCCGCCATCGGCTATAGTTCCCTTTACTATTGACCCGATAACCGGTATTGTCAACATATCGCGCCAATTGGACATTTCCGAAAGTCAACACTACATCCTAATTGTCGATGCTTTTGATGGACAATGGAAATCATCGGTTAGTTAATATGATAATAGACTGTCTGAGATGTTTGTTGTTGTTGCTGATGGTTATACCTTAAATTAATTAATTAATTTTTGTAATTTGCAGACCAATTTGAATATCTATGTTAGCGAAGCCGAGGAACGGGATCCCCGTTTCGATCAATCGCACTATAGGTTCGCTGTACTTGAAAATCAATCGGGTGTTCTGGTCGGACGGGTTGAACTGAAACCTCGTAAACATCGTATCAATGCACTGATGAAGTATACGATTGTCAACACTGAAATGAGATCCATATTCAATATAACACAGGTTTGATTTGATTGATTGATTGATATTTAAAAAAAAAAAATTGTATCACATTTGTTATAATCACATATTTAAAAAACAAACAATTAATTAATTCAATGGACTTATCTATAGGACGGCGAGATCTATACAAAAGTAGGTTTAGATCGCGAAAAGAGGAGTAACTATATCTTTACGGTTAAACTGGAAGAGAAACGACCCGTCACTAAGATTGTAAGTTTTATGACTGTTTATCATTTGATGGGAACCATTGATTGTGATGATGGATGTCTGGATGACTAAATCATTTGTTTCCTCTTTTGGACACAACCACAGAGTGTCAGCGAAGTCATAGTCGATGTGCTGGACATGAACGACGAGGTGCCACTGTTTACGCAGATATATCGGGGACACATCAAAGAAAACTCGCAGCCGGGAACTGCGGTCAGCATTTTACCGCAAATCCAGGCGCACGACAAGGACGCTGGGAATAATTCGCTGATTGCCTACTCGTTGGCCGGCGACGGGTCGGATATGTTTACGATTCTGGATTCGGGAACCGTATTGTTTACGCCGAAAGATCCGAAACAGATCATCGATCGGGAAGTAAAGGCCAAATACGAGCTGAAGGTGACAGCTGTCGATAGGGGTAGTCTGAGTTCGACCTCGGATTTGACTATCAGTGTCGAAGATGAAAATGATAATGCACCAGCTTTCCAACATGGACCACTGTATGTACTGTTACCTGAAGTAGCCCGACCCGGATCCAAAGTAGTCGAAGTCAAGGCTACCGATGCCGACGAGGTCGGACCTAATTCAAAAATACAATACTATATAACACACGGCGGCAAAGGTGACATACGTATCGATAAGTCTAGCGGTGAAATTTTTGTTGTCGGTACCCTGGTACCCGGAACCGTCTACTTTATGAATGTATCGGCTGTCGATGGTAACGGTCTGGCCGCCCGTACCACTGTCAATGTAACAATTGTCGATGTATGTGATAGCTGTCTACCCTCCCTCCCCCCCCCAATTGATAATACCTGTGCTTAACTTCTATATATGTTGTATATATCTATCCATTTTTTTTTTTTAAAAAAAAAGGTTAACAATCATAAGCCAACGTTTGAAAATACACACTACCAGTTCAATGTAGTCGAGGGCAACTATACGGCAAACAAATTGAAATTAGGTGTCCTCAGGGCCAAGGATGAGGATATCGGTAGAAACGGTGCCGTCGAGTATGCAATTTTGAATAACGTTCCCGCCGGTATGTATATATTTATGTATTTATTTTTTAAAAATAATTTTTTTAAAAAATATATATTGAATTCATTATATTTTAAATGAAATATTATTGGAAGTATAATTCAGTGATTAAATATTTTTTTTTTTTAATATACAATATAATAGTTGAATGAATGAATGAATGAAAATTAAATTTTTATAAATTACTATTTAATATATACTGACTGTATATATAAAGTATGTATAATATAAGGGGTATTGATGTGAATATATGTTTTACAATTTTTTTTTTTTTGAATTGAATACAAAGTGTTTAATTTTCCCATATCTTTAATAATATCTCTTTTTTTTCTCCATATTATTATTAATATTAATAATAATAACTGTATTTTTAATGACTTACTTTGTTATATATGTAAGCGATATGTGATAGTTATGATAAATTTATGTGAAAAAAAAAATTATTATTATTGTAATAATAACTAATTATTTTCCATCGTAACTAATGAATCATTTTTCTATTGCTAATTATAATATAATTACTTTATATTTTTAATAATAATAATAATAATAATATATTCATGTACTGTATATAAAAATAACTAATTATAATAGCATTAGTGATATCTTATATGAATGAATACCTCTCTCTCTCTCTCTCTCTCTCTCTCTCTCTCTCTCTCTCACTACTAAATGTAATCATAAATACTGTATAATATTACACTATATTTAACTAATAATAATAAGTTTTTAAGCGATAAAAATAAATATTTGCAAAGTTATTATTATTATGAGATATTAGAGAAATATATAATATAATATTTTTTTCATCATTTAAATTTGTTTTCTCCATAATATATGTCATATACAATATATAATATTTGTTTTTTATGTTAAAATTATAATATACTGTAAAATGTATAGTTTTTTTAGAGCTGTTTTTAATTAGTTTTGATAATAAGCTATATATGTATATAAATCTGATATTATATATATATATTTTTTTTAAATAAAAAGATTACGATTAAAAATAATAGTAAACATCATTATAATATAAAATTGTATTTCATGTCACAGATAATAATCTTTATTATTTGTGAAAAAATAAACTATTTTTACAGATAAACATTATTTTTAAATAAAAAATATTATTTCATGATAATCATTATCATATTATATTATTTGATGATTGTAAAATAACTGCATAAATAGTGTGTGCTATTTTAAAAAATACTAAATATTTTTTTTTTAATTATCATTATTATTAAATTAAATATTTTTCTCTCAAGTTTTATGCTTTAATATGCATTGTGAGGTCAATTAATTTTTATGGGATAAATAAGTATTTTTTTTCAATTATAAAGTTTGATTTTATTTATTATTATTATTTTTTTTGGTATTAATTATACAGTATATCGTCTATAATAATTTATTACAATAATTGATGCTTTGTATATATATATATATATATAATTTATCTAATATATACTAATCAATAAATAATTTATTGATTTAATAAATAAATAACTATTTTTTTATTTAACGACTGTATAACAAATTATTAATTGTTAGGTACAAACAGATACAAACACAAAACTAAAAGATTTATTATAAATAAATACATATAAAATTATATATATTTTTATATTTATTTATATATGTATTAACAGTAATCATAGTTTTCAACACAAATAAATAAATATATTATATATATATATTGAGAGAGAGAGAGAGAGAGAGAGAGAGAGAGAGAGAGAGAGAGAGAGATCGATGACATTGTAAAATGTTTTAAAAATTGTTTAATAGATTTTTATTTATTTTTTAAAAAGACAGTTAAATTGAGATTTTGAACTTAAGTTTTTAATTTAGTTTTTTTTCACTAAAATATTGTGTAATTTTTTTAGTTGTTGGTGTGTTTGTGTAAATATTTTTATGTTTTCGCAATGTTTGTTAATAAGTCAATGATCTAAATATATATATATATATAAAAATCACATAAAAATATTTTTTTTAATAAATAAATACGACAAACAAATAATCAATCTTTTTATTTCTATAATTATAGTATATTGCATTCAATATTTTTTTTATATATATCTAATAATAATAGGACACAAAATAGCCTTTATATTTGTTTGTCACTCTCTTTCTCTCTCTCTCTCTCTTTGAAATAAATGTATCATTTAATGCATTTTTATTTATTACTCTCTCTCTCTCTCTCTCTCTCTCTCTCTCTCTCTCTCTCTCTCGTCTTCAACAAATTGGTTGAGTCTTTAGCCTAACAGTTGTTGCCATCAATTCAAATGATTGTTATTTTTATATTTATTTCTCTCTCTTCTCTCTCTCTCTCTCTCTCTCTCTCTCTCTCTCTCTCTCTCTCTTTTTCCCACTCTCTCTTCCTAACCCTAAGACTACTACACAATTTTACATGACTTCCGCTTCTCTAGATTTTTATGGCCGATTAATAATATATGATTGTTGTTGTTGTTGTTGTTGTTTGGGTCAACCAAATCAACAATATATAATAACAAGAGGTAAACTATAGATATTTATATGCATAAAGTAGTAGTAGTAGTAGTAAAAAGATATCAAACTGATTACCAGAAAACTTATTGATGATATTTGCCACCAAAAAAAAATGTCTTAATGTCTTTGAGATGTGCGGCGCTCCCGAAGTTAGCAAAAAAGTGGGTCAATTCAATGCTTGATTTAATTTGAAATCATTTCTCTCTCTCTCTCTCTCTCTCTCTCTCTCTCTCTCTCTCTCTCTCTCTCTCTCTCTCTCGTCAAACAAACAAACCAACAACAAAAAAAAACCTAAACATCACATCAATAAATGACCCCTTTTTTTGCAACTAAAAAACCACTAACCATTTACTACTACTACTACTACTGTCGAGTTGTTTATACTGGAAGTTATCTTATTATTATTATTATTATTAACTATTATTATATATTATTATTTATTTTTACAAAAAAAATCTCAATCATCTCTTTATTTTTATTTTATTTATTTTTTTGTTGCCCAGACTTCCCGTTTTCGGTCGATGTCTACACAGGAGAGCTGTTTGCCAAAGGTTTTATAGATAGGGAACAGAAAGAGATCTATAATTTTGAAGTTACGGTAATATTATTACACAAATATTTATATATATAATATAAATAAAACATTTTTTTTGGTGACAAATATAAAAATAAGAGACATATAATTTATATTAATATATATTTTTTAAAAATAAATAAAAATTATATATTGATTTATAAGGCACTGGATTCAGGAGAACCGCCAACCAATTCAAGCACTGAAGTCAAGATAATTGTGGTCAGTATTTGGTCACTTAATTTTTGATATATTTTTTTTTTTAAAAAATAAAAATAATATTTTAATAAATAAATAAATAATCACAGAAAAAAATAGATGACACATTTGGTAAAAATAAAATAAATATATAAATTATAGTACTTTTTATATATAATATCATATAATAGTTTGGTTGAAACAAATAAAATAAAACAAAATGTTAGGAAATTATAATTAATTAATAAATTAATTAATTATTGCATTTGTATGCTTAGATTTAACGGCGCTTAACTCTAATTTTTTTAAATGTTATTTTGAACTATAAAATTTAATTATTAAATATTAACTAATTAATTAAATATATTTTATCTATTTGGTAATAACTAAATTTACTACTACTACTACTACTACTTTAAATTTATTTTATGTTTATGATTACTATTTTTAAGATTTTTATGATTATTATTATTATTATTATTACCATTATACTTTTTATAGTTAATATTCTAGAAAATATTAATATATAATAATAATAAACTAATATTTTTATATCAAAATAATTTTTTCTATTAACTCATAAAATATAAAATTGTTTATTTTTTGTATCCCAATACATATGAAAATATTTTTTTATTTTAGTTACTAATAGTATATTTAAACAATATATATAAGTATATATTTATACAATATATTTCAATATCAGTTTTTTTATAGTAATATAATTTTCATTAACTAAATGGAGTTTAGATAAAACAAAACAAAACAAAACAAAAAACAAATAATAATTTATATATTGTTTACTATGAAAAAAATATATAATAAATTATCTTTATTTATAAATAAACTTTTAAAATGTTTTTTATATAAACAGACAAAAAATATATATTTAAAAAAAATTGATTTTTTTCAATTTATGATTTAATGACCACACCAGGGTGACCGCAACGATGAAAGGCCCCGATTTTATACCGATCCCTACTTAGCACATGTACCCGAAAATCTGGATCCGGGACACAAAGTCACCCAAATAGTTGCGTTTGATCCGGATATGGGCGAAAATGGACAGGTATTCTATAAACTAGGCGATGGACACGACAACAAGTTTTATATTGACGGCAAAGGTTTGGACATCAAAAAAGCCAACAAAAAAAATCGATAAATTTTAAAAAAAAAACCATTTTCTTGTCTATCAATCAATCAATCAGACGGAACCGTTTGGACACTGTCGGCGCTGGACTACGAAGATAAAAGTTTCTACAATATTACGGTCATTGCCTACGATAAAGGCAGTCCTAGTTTGAGTTCAGTGGCCAAACTATGGGTAACAGTTGCCGATACTTCGGATTCGGTACCCGATTTTGCCAAAGCTGTCTATACGGTC